CAGCAGAACTTTTTCTTGCAGACTTATAGCTTCATTATTGAGCTATAATTGACATACAACATTGTATTAGCTTACAGTGTATAAAAAATGACTTGATATATGTATATATTGTGATTAACACAGTAAGTTAACACCTATCACTTCGCGGTTATAAATTGTTTTTCTTGTGACAACTTTCAAGATTTACTCTCAGCAACTTCCAAATATGTATATAACATGTTAACTATAGTCACCACCCTGTACATCAGACTCCTAAATTTTTAATGATCTCAAAATCTAAAACACAAACACCCTTCTAATACCATTGTCCAATAAAAAGAACCAGGGCTCCTGGGAGAAATGGCTGCAGACTCTAGGACTAGGACAGAAAATTGGCAACTGAACCTGGAACATCTTGTGTCCAGTGACAGAAAGTAGGGAAGTCCTCAAGAGAGGCGGTGGCAGTGGGGGTGATATCAAACACTGGAGCCAAACAAAAGGGCTCCGAATGGTCAGTATTGGTGTGATTTGAGCATCAAAAGAATATTCAATTATAATCCCAAGTATAAAATAAATATTCAGGAATTCATACTGATATAAATTATCAATAATTGTGGAAAAGAGACAAATTTCTCTTTATTCCAAATAAAATATGTAGGTACTTCATCATAAAAAAAGAGGCTCATAACTCCACACTCCTTCAGTACAAGCTGCAAATAGTGACTTCCTTCCAGAGTAAAGTATAGAAAGAAGGGGGGAAAGTGGAACTGTGTAGTGGAATAACCTAACTTTCCAGATCAGCATCAGCAGTCATAAGTTATACTGCTAGTATTTACCCTTCATATAATGTGAACAAAATGGCTCTTCATCTCTGTGAACTTCCTCCCAAATACCCATCATTCCAGTCTGGAAAGACATCAAAGCCCAACCGAGGCACATCCTACAACACACCTGACCAGTACTGCTCAAGACTGGTGGGTCGACAAAAACCAGGACTGTCTTAGAAACTGCGGCAGCCATGAGGAGCTTAAGGAAACAACACAATTTGTATCACTAAATGTAATACAATGTCCTGGATGGGACCCTGAAACAGAAAATGGATATTATGTAATAACTAAGGAAAACGAACATATCAATACTGGCTCATCAGTTACAACAAATGTAGCATACTAATGTAAGATATTAATTAGGGGAAAATGAGCGTGGGATGCGAGGGAACTTTCTACTCTCTTTCTACCTAAAACTTTAAAAAAGTGAAGTCTATTTTTAAAAATCTAGATCACAAATTAATTTTTACAAATTATTTTAAAAGATACTTCTGCTTAAGCACTTTTAAAAACAAAAAGCCATCAGTGTGTTGGAAATTTCAATCCCTTTAAATAAATGTGACTGTTTTGCCTTCTATCCCCATAAATATGAGTCTCATGTTAACCTATCTGGGGAGCAGAATGTACTAAAATACTTGTGTTGTGCTTGATAAGCTCAGGGGCAAACCATGCCTTTTAGAAACTAAAAGCTCGTTAATATATTTTCCAAGTTGAAAATGAGTTATTTTCCAAAAGTTTATGTTTAAGTCAAGTGTTTGGAACTTGAAACACATTTTCCCACAGACATGTTATTACAAACAGTGGTTCATTCCCAGGCACCCAGTGAAGCTCATTAAAGTTATTAGAAGCAAAAAGACATGTGCAATGAAAATAGTATAAACTAAATTATGAAAAAACAGTTCTCTTTTAAATCCAAAAGATAACTTTAAACATACAATTTAAATGTATTTGAACTAATTCCATCACGCAGTGTTTGAGCCAGTTCACACTGGGCATCTTTGCATATAACCTTATACACTGCAGATGCAAAAAGGGAGAATGGATGTCAGATCAGGGTGGGTAGGAAATGGAGAGGCCCCATGCACTGTCTGGGAAGGCAAGTGTGCTGTTTTAACCCCGACTGGCGGTGGATGGGTTTCTTCTGTTACTTCTGGGAATACAATGGAACTGGTGCCCTGCAGGATGGCAGAAACAGAAATGGGATGTGGCTTCTCACTACCCCAGAATCATTAATGTGCTACTATCCAGGCGGTGGGTAACTGAGTATGTCTGATGGCAGTTTCTAAGCCTGAATGACCAGCCTGCTAACTTGTCAAGTGACAGGAGGGCAGCAGCAGACCTTGGACTTGAGCTTTTCACAGGAGTGTGCTACCCAGCAGAGGACAAAGTAGGAGACCTGCAGAGATGCCGATGGGTGTTTGAAAAGGACACACATTTCCCAAGGTGGAAGATCAGAAGAGGAACCGGGTAAGAGGTAGATGTGGGGGCTAATTTCCTTGCAAGTACCCCCATGAGCCACGGATGAGAGTAAATATGACTGAGACATGATCTGCGTGGGGAGGAGAGGTGGCCAGTTTCTCAGAAGAAAAAGGCCATGAGCAGTGGCCAGTCTCTCAGGGGAAAAAGGGGTTGGGCCCCTTCCTCCAAGAGCTTTTATTGGGTTGTAATACACAGGAACACAGGGCAGCAAGGATCAAAGAGCAAATAACATTTCAAAGAAATCTGAGGGCTTACTATGAGTCAGAGTCTGTCAGGAACAGAGTTTTAGGGTTTCTTGCTCGAACTCTTAACATATGAATGAAAGCACTCTTAGCACAGCAGATTTCACGGGTTTATCAGGAAGTCTTTGTGATGCCAGATTTTTCCCTAGGACACACTCTAGCAAGGCAAGGAGCTGTACCCCTCCCAATCAGGTATTCACGCTTAAGGTGATCAGAGCCAGGAAGCACTTCTCCCAGAGGACCTGGGGACTTGGGCTATGTCAAAGCTGAGGGTGAGAGTCCATTGCTCACTCTTTGTTGAAGCCCCCCAAGTCCTTCTGTGATGGCCTCCCAAGTGGTTGAGTCTGGCTTAGGTTGCCCCCCGCTGTGAGGGGTTCTTACCCATCATTAACTTCTGACCATGCTTTGGGGGCAGGGAGGAAACTCTGGCAGCATTTGCTACCAGAGACAAGCTCTGTCTCCTGTGGCTCACATTCCAGAGGTTGTGGCTCACTCGTTCATCCTTAGACACAGGGTGTAGAGCTATAATTCCTAAAACCAGGTAGAGTGGTCCACAACAGGTAGACATAAGTTTTTGCAGTTGTGCCAACCCAAATGTAAGGCCCAACTGGGGTCACCATTTCTAAGCACAGAGAGGCCTATGTTTGATGCACTTCAAGTTTGTCCATCCTGGTTGAGGAGGTAGTTCACAAATAATTTTGTTTCATAAACACTACACATTTAAATGAAAAGAAATAAGAAAACATTGTGCTATTAAAAAAAAAACTACATGAGGTTTTCAAAAGCATACTTAAAAACAAGTACTTTTTAAAAAATGATGTATTTTCAAGTATTTTTTAAAACCATAACATATCAAGGACTTAAAACAAGAATGAACTCTAACTGTTCTTCCTCTCCCTGTCTGGACACCATCCCCACCAGTGCTTACAACCTGGTAGACTTCCACCTTTCTCAATTTTTCATTAAGTGTTCAAATGTATGGATGCACTGTTACAAAATTTTGTAAACCATGACAATGTGTAGAACATTGATAACATCCCAGAGGCAAATCTGAGCAGCTGTCCCTCCAGAAGATAAATATCCCAAATTCGTTTGATCATTTCCTTACTGACAGGTATTTTGTTTTCCTTTATTTTGCCTTTTATTTTCATGTTTATGAAAATAAAAACCTTCATACATACATTAATATTTTGTGCTATCCAGAAATCAAACCAGCTTACAGTAAGTTTGCTTCTAGCTCACACTACTGTTGAGGCAGGTCAGGCTGTTCTTGTACAGTTTGCCTCCAGCAGTGCTTCCCGGATCCCCCTTATCAGGGTTTTGCTATCTTACAGTCCTTCCCTGCCAGCAGCGAGGGTGGGAGAGGGCTTGGAAAAGGACCGAGAAGATTTAAGAGGAAGGCTGGATGTGGTTTAACATTCCTGCCCCAAACCCACTGCCTACACCCCAAACATGTGATCCCAGACTAACTGCAATAGAGGCTGGGAAATAGTCTTTCTACGGGTGCAGAGGTCATAGACTGGCATTTAGCCAATTTTGCCAAATATATTGGTGGCTTTATTCCAAAAAACATATTCCCCTGGACTGTAAAATTTCAATGTGACGTGTGTGTAGTCACTTTGTACAATGACCTATTGTTAAGTCCTATTTCTGCCAAAAGGGTAAAAGTACTGAGCACTGTTCTCGCTCTTCTCAATCTCCCCTCGGCAGCCACTAAAACCCAGAAAACTCAGTTGACTAAATCTGTGTCAGCAGGGCCCCAGTTTAACGCTCCCTCAACGAGGCAAGTGTTGACAGAGGGCAGAAATGGCGCTGTACCACGGCTTCTAGGCATCGTCCTGCAGTGCGGATTATTGGCGCGGCTTTCCCTGAAGTTCTCCTACCCCCGGATTTCTGGAAGCCAGCAATTTCCCCTGATTCGTTCCCTCAGTCTTTCTGACAGTTTAGTGAACATCTAATTTCTTGTATAAAACCTCTTCCTACTTAAAATATTTAAAGCAATTTGTTTTCCCAACCAAGAACTTCTACATCAACTTAGCATTTGCCTTTGTTTATGGCCCATTAGTTCTCTACAAATAATTTTTCGATACATTTACGTTTTCTCTTCTTGCTGTTGGGTGGCTGTCTTCACAAACCTTAATTAACATAAATATTCTCTAAGGCTTCTAATTTTTATCTTTTCTACTTAAGTCATTAATCTATCTGGAATTTCCTTTTGCGTATTTTGTGACTTCTAGTCTGATTTATTAAATAATAATGTTTTCCCACCCAAATGAAATACCATCCTGGTCTAAAAAGTCTTTTTTATTTCTGGGCCACCTGGTCTATTCCAGAAATCGCTTTGTCTACCCCTGAGCAATGCTACTCCTGTCAGCTGCTGTGGCCTTGTAAAACATCTTCACAAGTGGGGGCAGGGGTGTGTTTGGGGGGGCAGACAACTGCACTTGAACAATAAAATAAAAAATAAAAAAAGTCAATGCAAAAAGCCTTTTAATCATAAAAATTAATAAAATATTTTAACAATTGGTTTGTAAATTTAAATTCAATGGAGATCATATAAAACAGTAACTTGTACTAGTAGGTTAACTCAGTTGGATACAGAACTCAGAATAAAACCTATCTTTCTATGTCTGTGCATGTATTGGGACTTTCTGTAAATATTAAAGACAGAAAAACCTGAAGGCTTGGCTAACATAAGGAACAACAGTTAATCCTAATCTGATCTCAAGTGTTTGAGTAGCCTCACTCTTCTTGCTGATTGCTTTTGTAGTAATTGAATGTTGTAACATTGAATTTATAAGGTAATGTCATCTTTTTATATATTTTCAATCATTCACTTATTTATGGAGATGTAATTCCCTGAGTTCCCCCTTTAAAGTATTCAATTCCGTGGCTTTTAGTACATTCACATTGATAATTGCATTGATCACCTCTTACCTAATTCCTGTTTGTCTAATTTTTTTATTTAAAAAAGGGAAAAACCAAAGTGTAATTCTTTCAATAAATATCATCTGGTCCGCATACAGTTATACTGCAGAAAATGAAGTCCATAATTTTAGAACGATGGCAGTAATTTTTCAACCAAGTAATCAGTGTTCACACAGTTTCAATAATTGCAGCAATTTCCTTGAACTGCCTGTAGAAATTCTGGAAAGAAAGGAGAAAAATAACATTAATTTTGCTTTCAGAGGTAATTTAAGTAGTTCTTCTAATAAAATCTGACCACCAGAGGCTAGAAAACATATTAAGATTACATTTTGATGTTATATTCTCATCTCTTATAGAAGGTTATTCTGAGAAACAAAAAGGTATAATTTGGTACTAAAGCAGAATTGGACAATTAACACACAACTAAGCTTTTCAAAAATGCATACAAGAACGTTCTTTCGAGATCACACCAGAAAGATTTATTAACTACCCAGCACTGTCCTAGAAACTGAAGATAAAAACAAAAAACCAACAATTTGGTTTCCAGGCCTCAAATCACTTTAAATCTGGTTGAAAGACTGGATTTCAGGGTAATAGGGACTGTTTTGTTTAAGGTAAGGGTCCCATTACAACAGGAGAGACCCAACATTGATAATGGCTTGAATGGTAGAAGCTCATTTTTCTTTCATTTAAAAATTGACCTAGTCTGATCAACTCTCCTGTAGAAGTCATCTTGTGTCTTCACATCACAACTAAGAGGAGAATCAAACAAATTCGCCTTTCTTCTCTCAACTTGCTAGGGGCAAAGAGGCAAGTTTACATTTTAATTGCAGTGATAAATTTTCCAACCAGCCTGATTGGTTATGGAGAGGTTTAAGGTAGGTTTAATTTTGTTAAAACAACAACAACAACAAATTAATGTGACATTTCAGGCTCATTGTAATTCGCACCCACTACAATAGTGCTTAATATGATTTGCAATTATATATTAAGTGTTTTTATTCACTTGTCCATTGTCGTACAGCTTATAAATTCTATCAGGGCAAGAAGGTTCTCAGATAATTTTTGCAAGTAAATGTTGAATTAATGAATTTTGCACATAATATGGTAAGTACCGATTGTTTACTCAACTCATTAGTAAAGTGTACTTACCAGAGTGCAAGGTGGAAAAAGACATCAGGGATAAATACTCAAAGAAAGGTCAATAAAATAAAATAAAATTTTAATCTCAGCAATTAGGATTCCCTCTAATGATTTACATATTTGCATTTTTCTTCTTCTTTGGTCTTAATTCTGTATTGCTACTTAAGAATATATGTATTTTGTTTTAATTCACATGTAAATTGATTGTGGAAAAAAAGCAGGGTGTAACTATTTCTTTAAAAACATACAGGCCCTGGCTGGCGTAGCTCAGAGGATTGAGCGTGGGCCTGCGAACCACAGTATCTCGGTTCGATTCTCACTCAGGGCACATGCCTGGGTTGCAGGCCAGTTCCCAGTAGGGGACTCATGAGAGGCAACCATGCACTGATATTTCTCTCCCACTCTTTCTCCTTCCCTTCCCCTCTCTCTCGAAAAAACAAAAACAAACCCATACATTGTTGATCAAAATTTCAGCTACAAAAAGGATATAAACTAAAAGCTCAAAGAATGTTCCCATGGTCTCAGTCCTATAATGTGACTAACAGTTTGCCTGGGTAGATTCTAAGCCATGTAAACACTTACTTTAAAAGAGTTTGTGGTTTTTTTTCCTATGAGGAAAAAACATTCTGGAGGTGGAATCAGAGAGCATAAATGCAGCACATAAAAATAAGAACAAGGCCAGGATTCAGAATTACAAAGTGAGTTGAAACCTATATTCTTTTGCAGTTGATTGGGTCCTTATATTCACTTGACTACTCACATATCACAATATACTGCACTTATTTCCTTCCAACCAAGCCCTAATTACTTTTGAGACACTAATTAGCATTTTAATGTTGCATCTATGACCATTATTTTTTATTCTAAAGCAGAGATTTCAGGGTTTTTTTTAAAAGATTTTACTTATTTATCTTTAGAGGGGAAGGGAAGGAGAGAGGGAGAGAAATATCAATGTATGGTTGCCTCTCGTGCATCCCTGCTGGGAACTGGCCTGCAACCCAGACATGTGCCCTGGCTGGGAATCAAACTGTGACTCTGGTTCGTAGACCCGCACTCAATCCACTGAGCTACGCCAGGCAAGGCAAGATTTCAGTTTTAAAAGCAAGACATTAAAAGGGGAAAAAAGACCCTTAAAATGTAAAAAAAAATACCCTATCATATGACCCAGCACCCTGACTTCTGGGTATATATCCAAAGGAAATAAAATCAGTATCTCAAAGACATACCTGCACTCCTATGTTCAGTGCAGCATTATTTACAGTATATGCTAAATATAGATACATACACATGTAACATATACACAACAGAGTACTGCTCATCCTGAAAACAAAGGAACTGCTGCTAATGTGGCAGCATGAATAGAGGACGTGTGCTGAGTGAGGTAAGGCAGACACAGAAAGACAAACACCACATGTTCTTACTCACACGCACAATCTAAAAAGTGGGACTCATAGTAACAGAGAGTAGAAGTTTGTCAAAGATACAAACTTCGAGTTATATGATGACTAAGTCTGGAGACCTAATAATGTACAGCATGGTGACCAGTTAACAAAAATGTATTATATACATGAAATTTGCTAGGAGAGCAGATCTTAAGTGTTCTCAGCACTCAGACACACAAAGAAGGTAACTACGTGAGTTGACAGATATTTTAATTAGTTTAATTGTGGCAATCATTTCACAATGTATTTAAATACCAGGACCTCACCTATACGCCTTAGATATATAGTATTTTTACTTGTCAATTAGACCTTAATAAAGGTCAGGGGGAAAGTGTAGTTTGTAAAAGAAGAAATCAAAAGTATCCTAAAGTGATATACGAGAGGTTTTTTAGAGTACTAAATGCTGTGAAGATTCTTATCTATTCATTAAGGAAGAAATTAAATAAAAATACAAGCTTGTGTTAGTCAATGACAAAACACTTCCCTGTATGTACATTTAAAAGAAAATTCAATTTCTCACCAACCCCCTTTTTTCTTCCTTATTGAAAAGGGGTAGAATGATAACATGAATGAAATGAACCTAATATAAACTACTGAGTTACTCAAATTGCTAGCTAATAGAACTAGTCATCAAGTATTGGTGCTCTGATCTGCATTTTACAATCATTATTAGTCAGAAGATTCGAGGTCAACACTATTCAAAATCAGCTTCATTTAGCTTATCCTTCTTGAATATTAAGCTTAAGGAGTAAGAATAAAACAGTTAAAAGCAAAGTAAATATCCTGCCTGAGAAGATGAGAACCTCCTAAATATTTTACACAAGAGAAATCCAGCACATTACATTGAAAATAGTTTCTCAAATCTCCAGAGAAAATAAATTCAGGTCTTTTATATTAATAGATGTAAGGCACATCGAAACAACTGCAAATAAAAATAATATTCTCCCTTAAGAAAAATTGTATACATCACTTTAGGCAGCAATTACAGAACAATAAGCTAAAACTGACTGGGTTAAATCACAAACCTGAAACTGTGGAATGGTCATTTCAAAAGACTTGACCTTTACTTGGCCTGAATGATCCGCCACTTTTAGCATCAGTGCAACATAGGGATACTTGAGAGATCTGCAACTGTCTGAGCTCACGGCCATCCCGAGTTTCCACTGAAAATCGACAAGCTGTGGTGAAAACGGCACAAAACAATACATTGGTAATAGCACTGCCCTGAATGCAGATACTTATTTAATTTCACTGCTCTGGTATTCAACTCTTGCCAAACATAATAAAAGAAAATATCTTCATTCTAATATTGCTAGAGGAAAACCAACCAAAGGGAGAGAGGCAATAAGGGATATATATAAACAGAGTTAGCAAACCATACTGTCATAATTACAAAAGCAAAAAACCCCACAAAAAACAAAAAAGCCAAGAACTTCCACCAGATGTGTAACGGAAGCAGAAGGAAGATGGGGCAGGACTGGTTTTCCCTTCACTTTGCTCCTGCACTTGAGGGGACTCCAGGGGGTTTGGTCTGTCTCTCCTCCTCCCTGTTCCATGATGCCTCCCCCCATTCCACAACCTAAAATCCTGAAATGGAAGATGAATTACATGCCATGTTCATATTTACTTGAGGCACACATGGGAACCATTCCAGGTTCTTTCCTCACCACCGTCCTCAGCCTGAAACCCGACATGAGCATAAGTACCGGGTGACAGGTGGTTTTGCATTTCATCACTGTTGATGATGGACACCGGCCAGGTGATGTGCTATGCTGTTTACATGTATTAAATGCCTCACTTTGAATCATCACATTATAGGCTATTATTTCCATCTTGCAGATGACACAACTGAATTTCAGATAGCTTAGGTAATGTGCACAAGGTCACACATTTCTGGAATCAGAATTGAAACCCATCTGACTCCAAAAATCACATGCTTATTGACTACTGGCTGCCTCAGTACTTTGTAGCTAATTCCGGTCCATGATTGTTCAGTGCTGCTATGGCATAAAACAGGATGGGCTAACTTAGCTCCTAATGCTAACTCTAAAACATAAGACCATGAGTGGGGGAATTAGCAGGCACCCACAAAAAATACTTATCTACTGACTGATACCTTCTGCTACCAAATTAATGCTGATTGTGTAAAAGATTTGCTTGTTAATAAATTTTTTACAAAAGGTGCGACTGGTGTGAGGACTGGTATTTCCTCCTGTCTCAGACTGGCTTTGAACCAATCAACTATGCCATTAAGGTCAGAATGGTGCTGATAAAAGGTTAAATGCATTTAATAAGTAAAAAGATTATACAAGTACATTTTACATAAAAGTACCCCATACAAAACTAAAGATAGTAGATACACAACAGATGAACTGTAACTGAATAAGCATACTTAAAGGAAACAGGAAGTGCAAATTTAAACCACAATGACATACCACTACACACCTACCAAAAGGCTAACTTATCAGTCTGACAATTCTAAGTGTTAGGAAAAAGGAAGTGCCATGTGCTGCTGACGGGAGTCTAAACTGGGCCAGTCTTTTAGAAAACTGGCTCTACATGGGGAGGGTGAACTTATGCACACCTCGTGACCCAGTGATTCAACTACAAATATAACCTAGAAAAACTTGTGCATATATTCACTGGTACCAGTTCCTGGTAGCTTTAGTCCTAATAGCCCTAAATTATAAACAGCTCAAACAGACATCAGTAATGGGGCAGATAAATGAAATGCTGTACAGCAATGCAAACGAATGAACTTCAGCTACACTCGACACCAAAAATACCAAAAGCAACAAGTTGAAAAGTTATGTGATTCCATTCACTTAAAGAACAGAAAATAGCTCAGGAATGCATACATAGATGGCACAACGATAAGAAGCAAGAATGTGATTATCACCAAAAGATAGGAAGGAAGGAAGAGGTTTGATTGTGGAGGGCACGTGGTTAGACTTCTAGGGGCTGCTAATGCTCCGTTTCTCGAGTTTTGACTGTGGTTACACAGATGTTCACTTTAACTTACTCCCTCTTTGTCAATAACCGCACAAGGAGATGAAGGTTAACTAAAATCACTGCGGTAACCTTTCCACAGAATAAGTCTGTCGAGTCATTATGTGGTATACCTTAAGCAGGAGTGCCCAACCTGCGACCCACAGGCCGCGTGCAGCTCAGGATGGCTGTGAATGTGACCCAACACGAAATCGTAAATTTACCTAAACATCATGAGACTTTTTTTGTGATTACGTGTTGCAATGTATTTAATGTGTGGCCCAAGACAACGCTTCTTCCAGTAAAGCCTGGAGACACCAAAAGGTCGGTCACCCCTGCAACTTACACAGTGCTCTAGGTCAACTGTATCTCAATAAAACTGGAAAAATTAAAATAACTCAATAAACCATCCACATGTCCTGCATATATGTTATTTTGAACATATATTAGGGTGGGGATAGAAGTCAGTGAGTTCCTAGTTGAGAATAAAAAGGTATTGTAGGCTAGGAAAGCAAAAGCAGTGCAAAAGGGATAACGCTGAACTCAGTTTGGGGAATAAACAGAACTGAAACTGAGCAAAAATGTGGCTTCTTTATACATTCCAGAAATACATAAACAATACATGGCAAGACTAAATGATGAATAAATATTAAGCTTCACCATGCAGTGATGAAAAGTCACTATACGGTTAAGGAATAGCACATTTATCTGTCTTGAAGTGGGAGGCTTTTATAGGAAATATGGAAAACAAAACCTAGAAGAGTGATCAAGAGGCCTAAGTTCTTTGCAAACTGTATGAGCTTTCAGAGGTTTCCAAAATAGTCTCATATACTCTCTCTTACTATGGAAAAATAATGTATCATTATTAAATCATTTATGCTTTTCCTGTAGGCAGTGGGGACTCATGGAGCATGATATGAAAGTACTATACTGATTTAGAAATGTATCATCTGGTGGCAGTAGGACACAATAATCCAGGCATAAAGCTTTACGTGCTTGAAGGAAGGTGGTGACAAGTAGGATTATGCTGGACCTATAAAGAATTAAATCACTAGGTACTGATGACTATAGAGTTCATGGACGTTTTCAAAGACAACTATAAAAATTCGGGCTCAGATGATTGGGAGGATTCTGGTATCATGTATCAATCAGGACTTCATATTTTTTTAATTTCAAAGGTACAACACCAAGAAGTGAGAAGGAATATTTAAATAGGAATGTTTGATAAGTGGCTAAAAATCTAAGAACATAATTCAAGGGAGGTCATGATTAGAGAGTTTTTTTGTATCAGTTCAGTGGCGATGTCCAAAAGTTTAACTGGACACTTTTAAAACTTACTCAGCCTGTACAACTCCTTTATGCAAGAAGTTCCGTTTTCACTGTCCATAGTAAAAAGGCAGAGTGAAACATTGCTTATGTGACTCTCGAAGTTGGAAATAAAACTTTGAATTATCTAGAATATTAGCAGGAAAGCAATTAAGGAACATAATGTGAGAATCCACTGATCATTACAGCAGAGAAACTCACAGGTGAGGAGATTCGGAGAGCCACTGTTCGGACACATAATGTGCAAAGTTAGTGTTCACTGGTTAAAGGAAGCTGGGATTAGATCTGAGAGGAGAATTCCCCAAATTCTAAAAGGAATATTTACATGCAAATTAAAAGCAAACTTTTTAATAAATGTGGTTTAGCCTTAAATAAGATTTAACTGCATAGATATTTAAAAGAATTAAAAACAAAGAATCAAAACAGAACACACATCACTATGGAAAATTTTAAGAATAAAGTATTATAGCCTCAAAATTCTAGAATGAAGAAAATAATTTACAAAGAAAACATGCAAAAAAGTAATGAAAAAACATACAAACATCCATAAGTAAAACACAAATACAAAGAAAAATAATCAGAAAGCAAATGTATATTAAGAACAAAGAAATTAGCTGTAGTCAGTTATACTAAAAATTAACTGATAAGGTAGTTGAAATTATTAGTAATATAAAAACCACCATAAACACTGCCCATAAAGATAAAACTGACAAAGCCCATTTCAATTTAAATTTATTTTTTATTTTTCAAAACACAACATAGGAGAAAATTAGAAAAATAATCATGCACAACTCCTTCCTAAAAACTGTTTTCGTATTCCTGTGTCTCCATTTCAAGTCTTCACCTGTATGTAATTTTTATAGCTAGAGTCACAAAATACACACTTTTCTGTTCTGCTTTAAATCAATGTTCTTAAATGAAAGGAATTGCAAGTGTTCTGCACACCACTAAACACTCTCAAAAGTGCCGAGTAAAAGACTGATTAAGCAACTCATCCAAGGACACAAAACTAGTAGAGCTGGTTATTCAAATCCAAATCTGCCTGATTCCATCCATACTCCACACATTTTTAATTGTACGTTGCTGCAACATGACCACTGTTTGGAAACAAACTAAGTTCTAGTAGGTCAGGGAAGTAGCTAGGTCTGGAATTGGACAAGAATGGCGAGCTTCTTCTCCTTACTCGTCCTGAGCTGTCCAATACAGCAGCCACTAGCCAAATGTGACTATTTAAGTTCATTAAAATTAAACAAAATAAAGCAATTCAGTTCACAGTTGCACTAGTTACATATCAAGTGCTCAACCGTCCCAGGAGGCTGGTGCTGCCGCAGCGGACGGTGCCAGCAGAGAACGCGCCCCTCACTGCAAAGAGCTCTACTGGACTGCCCCGTGCCACGCCTGTGTTAACATAGGTGCGGAAACTGATGCGGGCATGAGTTATCAGCAAACTTCTGCTTGAGAATTCATATAGTCAATCTCTAGCTCAAGTAAGCATCTGCTAAGTCACCAGCTTTCCCTATCTTGTTTAATGGCACCTTCCTCTCTACACTTTGCTTTATTTTCTTAACAGCAGTTATCATGATTGGATATTATTATGTTAACCTTCAAGACAGCAGGAGCATTATTGACCTGGGTTAGTACTGAATCTCCTAGGATACTATCTGGTACAAAGTGAATGTTCCAATAAGTATGTATTGAATTAATACATTTAGAACAAAGACAGCACCTAAAAATTAGAATATGCACATGTTGCTCCTCACATCAAGAAATGGAGCTTGGCCCTGGCTGGTGTGGCTCGGTGGACTTAGTGCCGGCCTGCAAACCAAAGGGTCACCGGTTCAATTCCCAGTCTAGGGCACATGCCTAGGTTGAGGGCCAGGTTCCCGAGTAGGGATTGTGCGAGAGGCAACCACATGTTGATGTTTCTCTCCCTCTCTTCCTTTCTCCCTTCCCCTTTTTTTCTCTCTATATAAATAAATTTTTATTTCTCTCTATATAAAGAAATAAAATCTTTAAAAATAAAATGAAGTTAAATAGCTGGCTGGTGTAGCTCAGTGGACTGAGCGCGGGCCTGCGAACCACATGATCGTGGTTTGATTCCCAGTCAGGGCACGTGCCTGGGTTGCAGGCCAGTTCCCAGCAGGGGACTCACAAGAGGCAACCATACATTGATATTTCTCTCCCTCTCTCCTTCCCTTCCCCTCTAAAAATAAATAAATAAAATATTTTTAAAAAGTGCTAAAATAAATAAATAAATCAATAAATAAAATGAAGTTAAAAAGAATGGAGCTCTTTTTCCCTCTTCGTGAATCTGAGCTGTCCCTGTGACTGCTTTGACCAGCAGGACACGGCAGAAGAAGCTCTGGAATCCCTAAGCATAGGCCTCAGGACAACTGGAAGTGTTTGTCTTTCTTCACAGAATGCTGGCCCTTGGGACTTGCCGTCCTGGAACCCAGCCACCATGATGTGGACAGCCTTGTGAAGAAGAATCAAGTCACTCCAATTAATCAGCTCTGGCTGAGCTCACAGCCAAAGTCATTACTGAGCCCTCTTGATGTCCGGCCCAATTAGGCCCCTAGATGACTAAAGCTCCTGCTGAAAGGACAGGGAGTAGAAACCACCACCCAGCAAAACCCAGTTACCCCGGCGTCACAAGAGATCATGAAATAGTTTCAGGTCACTGCGTTCTGGGTAGTTTGATATGCGGCAATAGGTAACTACCGCAGAACAAAACAACGAGCAGAAAATAACTCTATCAACAAGAACATGACGTGACTTATCCAAAATGTCTCCTTGTAACTATATAATCTGAACTATATTAGTTGGTGGGAATTCTAGCAAACACAAATAACCAAAAAAAAAATGTCAAGTAACCATTTACCTCTGAGATGCAAAAACAATGCAGCGAAATAAAGTCTTTCCCATGAAACACTTTCACTTCTAGTAAGTTCACAGCCTAACTACCCAGCAACAGCAAACGCACATCATCTCCCCTCAACAATGCTTTTCATCCTCAGTTCATTTCTACTGATGACGCCCACTTCCCTAGTGACTCACACATGAACTTTGGTCACCTTTGGTTTCTCTCTCTCCCTTATTCAAAACATGTATGAACTGACAGGTACTCCAGATTTTATTTCAGCCAATGCCACTGATCTGCATTCCCTTCTTCCCAGTCCCACTGCTGCAAATCTACTGAAAGCCTGTCTCAAAACCTTGTCTTGGATTTTACTGCAGCCTCCTAATTAGTTACTTGCCTGTGGGCCTTCTCAGCTCCAATCCAGAGTATAGCCTCTAAATACTGCTTATAAATGAACAAAATCTAATATACCAGGTGAAAACCTGTAAAGTCACCTGCCTCAAGAGCTAGTTACCAATCACTTCCCCAGCACTAACGTTATGTCACAGCAGTTAGTTTACTAACTAGCACTTAGTTCACTTTACTAGTCACCTGTGGGTTTGTTTCTCTGCCCCCATCCGCTAGACTGTAAATGCTTACAGGGCTGTTAGTACATGGTAACATCCAACACAGCACATAGAACAAAACAGTCACACATTTATAGACCACTACACAATCTGTACAAAATTTAAATAATTATTTATCTATGGGAACAGGGAAAATGGCACTAGTGTCAATAAAACACATTCCTTTTCATTTATACCATAAAATTGGCAAGAAAAAAAATGTGGCAGCAACAGGAACAATCATTCATGTGCGAAGAGTTCTAATTAGATATATAGAGAATCATGAATTACTTCAAAAATGATTCTAAGTATCATAGGGTGAAATAACTGATGATTCTAAGTATCATAGGGTGAAATAACTGCAGACCTCTGGCACTGGGCAATAGAGCATAGAGCACCGTGGTCTGTTCAATTTAACAAGCACAGACTCTAAGGTCAGACACACCGGAGTTGGAATCTCAGCTCTCCCACCTTGCAACATGGTTTTGTGCAAGTTACAAGGTCTCTATGCCCCATTATTCCAGTATTTACTAAACAATACTATGCACTGTGGTTATGGAAAAGAATAAAACAAAGTTCCTGACCTCAGCAATTTGCATTCTAGAGGGAAAGCCAGCCAATTAACGTATAATAAAGTTATAGTGTTATAAAAAGTGTTAAAAAAATTAGGTGGTAGGGTGACCAAGAATGGCTGATTAGATAGACCCTGCAGTGACCTCTTTGAAGAGCTGGCTTTTGAGGAGCAAGAGAAGGAAAAAGCAACATGGATATCTAGAGAAGAGTATTCTGGACACAGGGAGAAGCATGCCCAGCATGTGTACAGGGAACCATGAGGCTGGAGGGGCATGAGTGGGAAGAGATGAGGAATCCATTTTGGGGACTGTAGGCAAGTAAATCCATTTTGAAGGGCCTGTGGGCCAAAGTAAATATTTAAGACTTTTCTCTAATGTGGCAGGAAACCTGTTAAGAGGCTTTGGGCAGAGGAGAGACTTGGTCTAACATTGATTGCAAAAGGCCCATCCAGACTGTTGGACGGGGCATTAAGTTTAGGAAGAAAAGCAAGGGAATCGGACTGGGAGCCCATTGCAGTGGTCTAGGCAAGACGATGCTGGCTTGGACTGAGGAGGCAGCAAAGGGAGGTGGATTGAGAGTTTATTTTTAAAGGGAGAGAAGAGTATGCTGATGGATTATATGGGGGTTGTAAACTCTCATTGGAGGTGCGGTCCAAGTCAACCTGGATAATTCATATCCTGCTGAGAAACAGAGAGAAGGTATTATCCCTCAAAGAATTAAAACTTTAATAGCCATAAATGTTAGCTGTATCTGGTACATTTAAACAGCATAAACTACAAAAAAAATTTATAGCTAACTTTTTCCTTCTGTATTACACTTAGTAGACATGATCATTTTATTAACAGTGTAATATCAAAAGAGCATGACCTATGAATTAAAAGGTCTAATCTCAGAGTTCCTAGAAGTAACACTCACCAAAATTTGAAGTGTGAAGCCCTCCCACTGACAAGATACCTGAGATCTCAGCTCAGGCTTGTCCACACTGAGACTCCGCAATTTTTCAATTATAGGCTTTCCTACCATCGCACTGGTTTTTGCAGAGGTTTCTGTTCTACTAAGTTGTTATTCGTTATTCTCTATAGCACCGGTGGCAAACAGAAAGGCCCGTGGCCAAATCCAGCCCTCCACCTTGTTTCTACCCCGAGGCAGTGCCAAGCTCCTTGCCCCTAGCTAAGGAGTAGTTACATTTATACAGTCCTGAAATTACATTCAGCCCTTTGAGGGCAACTGAGAGACTGATGTGGTCCCCAGTGAAAAATGAGTTTGACACCCTTGCTCTGTAATCATCTGTCTTCTTAATTTTGGGAGAAGTGATGTACCTTTGTCACTTCAATTCTAACAATCCAGAAAGGGCTGTTTTTTTAAACGTTTGTTCAGCTTTTTGCTTGCTTTTAGGATAAAGTGATGACTTTCAACAACCTTACACAATAGATTGGAAACTGGAAATCTATCACTTTCTGTAATTTTCTTCATAAAACTTTAAAAATTCTTTTATTTATTTTTAGAAAGAGAAGGGAGGGAGAGGGAGGGAAACATTGATGTGTGAGATACTGCAATTAGCTGCCTCTCACACACCCCTGAGGGCCCTGCCCACAACCTAGGCATGTGCCTCAACTGGGAATCAAACTGGTGACGCTTTGGTTCACAGGCCAGCACTCAACCCATTGTGCCACACCAGCCAGGGCTCTTCATAAAGGTTTTAAACATCTTTTATTAGAATTATTACAAGGTACTTTTTCTTTCTGAATGTTGCAAATGATCTTTTAAAAAATATATTTCAACTGTGTCTAAATATAGGAGAACAACTCTAATATTGCTTGTGAATTATCTTGGCTTTTTCTATGTAAACAATCATGTAACTTGTGAATGACCACATGAAAGGGATGGGTATTAGGCTGAAGAACGGCCCTCCAAAGTTGTCCACATTCCAATGCTTGAAATCTGTGTTATCTTACATGACAAAACAGACTTTGTAGATATGACTAAATTAAGAATCTTGAGGTGAGGAGTTTCCTCAATTACCCAGGTGGGCCCAATGTGATCATAAAGTCCTTATAAGAGGGAGGCAGGAGGGTCAGAGTCGGACAAGGTAATGTGATGATGAGGGTAGCAGAAAGAGAAGTGACAACAGAAGCAGAGGTTGGAATCCTGTGCTTTGAACACAGAGGCAGACCCAAGCTCAGCAATACCAGCAGCCTCTAGAAGCTGGAAAAGACAAAGAAACAGATTCTCCCCCAAGAGCCTCCAGAAGGAACACAGCCCTGCCAAAGCCTTGATTTTTAGTCCCACAACACCCATACCTCAAAAAAAGGTTTAAGTTTTAAAAACCCTATACTCCAATATAATTCAGTTACTCAAGTAAAGATGATTTAGTGTAAGTGAATAGACACGATAACTTAGGAAAGACTGAACCAAAATGCACTAACTCAGTAACTCTGAGAAAGAACATCTGAGTGTTGATTACCGAGTTCCCCTACCTCCCAGGAATCCTTGGAAACAACAAACTGCAAGATCAATTGGAGACACACAGTCTCCTGGCCCCTTGTATCCTTATTATCTCTTATTTCAGCCCTTTATAGTATTTTGCATGGACCTGGGTGACTGACTCCTAACCCAAAATACTTTTAGTACTCTCCTGGGGAGAGTGTTGTAAGCTATTTGGCTAAAAACTGTTTGTTAGCTAAAATAGGACAAGGCTACTTGAAATAAAGAAACCGGATTAAGCTATATCTAAAAAAAAACCAGATCAAATCCTTATAAGCATAAATATATGCACATTGGAAGGTTAAAGAAGTATATACTCCATCCTCCAGTATACTTTAAAATACTGGTTTTTAAAATCAAAACTGTTATCGGTGCTATCTTTGGAAATGTTAATAATTTCTTCCCTCTATAGTCATTCTAAAACACCGTGTGCCTAGCTGCCAATAAATGACGCCTAAGGAAGAACAATACTTAGCCTGCACTCACTGGGCTAGTGGGGAAGTTCAATTTCAACGGCAGTGGCTACCATATCAGATACAACCAGAAAGGAGCCACGACAGCCACCGGCATGCAGGCACAGGCTTTGGACTGGGGGTCACGAGGGGGTGGGTAGCGGGTAAGTTGGGGAAGGTTCGCAGAAGCCTCAGTCCGGCCAGGTGCAGCAGCCCGCCCCTTCCCTAGCAGAGGCAGGGCGGGGTACCACTCACTCACCTGGTTGGTGACCTGAAACGGAAGCAGAAAAAACACAATTTACAGAATGATCTTTCTTGACCTACGAGCCCGCGTCCCCGATTTATTCTACGCCAAGCTTTACCTTGGCCTTAGCATCCAAGACCGGATCGCTAGACCCTTCCATGGCACGTTTCCAGGGATCAGACCGAAGACCCCCCCAGAACACTCGTCGGGAGGGCAACCCTTCCGCTCCCTCCTCCGGGCCCAGCGCCCTGGCGCTCGCAGCGGGCGTGGGGGAGCAGGAAACAAACGTCTTTGTGTAAGTCATCCATAGTGTCAGTTAAGTATCAGTTTAAAGAAGCCAACAAGAAAACAATGAATTATTGTAGGACTGTGATTCCGAATATGTAGGATATACCCTGCCAGGGAAGGACCTATTAATTTTAGAATGCCTTCTGCCCCTACCAACACTACAGAGGTGGACTCTTCCTGCAAGCTCCGCCCCCTACGCTGTGCTAACTAGTCACAGCCGGAGACCTGGGATCCTAGTCCTTGATCCAATTAGAAGGCGGCTGGAGAGCCACACCTCCTCTAGCAAAGATCTGCAAAGGAGAAGCTTGTGAGAACTGTAGTTACGAGATCAGCTCTTCGCGTCAGTATCTACTCCACCGGCCTCGCAGGTAGTGGGGTGGGGATACTTTCTTTATCTCCGCTGCCCTCCGCCCCCCAGCACTCAGCCTAACTACAGCAATTTCCTGTCGTCTGGTCTTCTCACGTACCCCCTACGTGAGAAGGGGGTACATCTCAAATCCACTCTGCAGAGCACCCACAACGATTCCTCGCCCCCCCCCTGCAGTTTTTTATTTTGAAAAACTTGATTTATTTTTCAGAAAAGCTGCAAAAATGGTTCAATAAACATACATATACACTTCATCTAGATTCTCCAACTTAACATATTTACACATTTGCTTTAACCCTAGAGACAAGCATAGCAATGATGACACATTATTCCTAAATACTTGAGCATGTATCTCCTATGAACAAGAGCAGTCTCCTAAAAAAAATCATAACTCTTCCACTCAGGAAGTTTAAAACCAATAAAATACTATTATCTAACACATGGACCAAATCCAAATTTCCTTAATCGTCTCAACAATATTCTTATAAATTGTCCCTGGGCTCAGTTGGTTTGGGCATCAATCTCGGGTTGGATTCCCTGTCAGGGCACATGCCTGAGTTGTGGGTTTGGCCCCCTGGTGGGGGGTCCAACGGAGAGGCAACTAATGGATGTTTCTCTCTTTCTCCCTTCCTTCCCCTCTGTCTAAAAAAAAAATAAATACAATCTTTAGAAAAACGGTTCCCTACCCACCCACATACTCTGATCAAGGACCACTTGATGCATTTAGTCCCAGTGTCTCCTTAGTCTTCTCTAACCTAGAACTGCACTGGTAAAATGGCAGGACAGGCTCAGGGTGAGAAGCCACTTACTTTCAGGTCATTGGCAGAACTGTTTTATGCAGTTGCCATTTCCATGCTGACTTTTGAAGAAGGCTTCTCAGCTTCTAGAGGTCATCCACATCCTTGTCCTGTGACCCCTTCCTTCATCATCAAAGCCAGTCATGTCATTTCATGTCCTTGTCACACTTTGAATCCTTTTGACTGCCAGTTCTACATCATGTCTTTCACCATGTTGCTATGACACCAGCGTGACCAAGTTACTGTTTTTAAGGTCTCAAATGATTACATTGGGATTACCCAGATAATCCAGGATAACCTCCTTAAAGTCCATAACCTTAATGACATCTGCAAAGTCGCTTCAGAGAAGTACCTAGATTGTGTTTGATTGAACAACCAGAGACAAGAATCTTGGACAAAGGAATATGTTTTGAAATCCAGCCTACCACAAACAACCCTCATATAATTGTTGGAGAAATACATTAGTTAACGCCTGTCAAGATGTAAAGGCCTAAATTGCCTTGTAGCACCCAGAATCTGTTTTTTTTTAAAAAGGCACTGACTCAAGGCTATTAGATCTGACTGTACTAATTAGCTTGGGAACATAGTCTCCGAATGAATCAAATTCTTTCTTCCCTGTGGAAGTCTGGTGAAAGACAAGAACTGTGGTATATCCTTCTGGTCAGCACACCAGTTTCATTTGCCAGAGAGTATTTCTCTCTCTTTTTAAAAGATTTTATTTACTTATCTTTAGAGGAGAAGGGAACAAGAGAGGGAGAAAAATACCAATGAGTGGTTGCCTCTTGTGCATCCCCTGCTGGGAACTGGCCCCTGCTGGGAACTGGCCTGCAACCCAGGCATGTGTCCTGACTGGGAATCGAACCTCGATCCTTTGGTTTGCAGGCTCACACTCAATCCACTGAGCTACACCAGCCAGGGCTGTCAGGGAATATTTCTCTGTAGCCTGTGGTTGCCATCAAATTATGATCCATGGGGGAATTATGCTTCATGGAAGGCTGTATGCACACACAGGCACACGTGTGTGCACACACACATATGTAAATCTCAACTATATGAAAACTCTCCTACAGAGTGAAAAGAACTTATTAAGAAGTTATTTTTGTGTTTCTCTGTATTTTTCATACATTTCTTTTAAAACTTTATCTTAAAAAATTTTAAATTAGACATGACTGTCCCTCTCCAAAGTTCTATCGGTCTGATTTGGGGAGAGTAAAATGTCAGTTGTGTGTAGTCCGATCTCTGCCAGTTGTTACTCTTGTTCTTGGGCTCCTGACAGTCTAGCAACTGATGTGATCAGCTGCTTATTTTTAAGACCTCTCTCTTACAAAAGGTCAAAATTTATGTAAGCTTAAGACTTTGGAAATAGAGATTTTATAAATAGAGTCAGGAAAAAAATTAAAATTAAAAATGCTTAGGCATAACTTTTGTTTTATTTACATTTATTTTTATCTTATGACCGGTGAGTAGGACACACAGACCAGGCAGTGCTTTTGGAGCTCATACCATCAGATGTGTCGGGGGAATGTGTGCAGAACCATGGCATGAACTCCGATCTCACAAGAGTGACTGCAATGGAGAAAACAAAGTGGACACACATGAAGCAAGTAATACTTCAATCTAAGCTCATATTTAGGGGGCTTTTGGTGCCGAATGATATAAATCCAACTCACACTAGCCTGAGAAAAGTAGCAGAAATTAATTGTCTCACAGGAATGGCCTCTGAAATGTAGGGTCAGAGCCAAAGGGCCCAATCTCTGTTTCCCAGTTGTGGTACGGCCTTCTGTTTGTCTGCTGGCTTTGTTCTCTTAGGTGTCTCCATATGCTATTGGGGATGGTATGTGCCAATGCCTTTACGACCACCAGTATCTCTGGGGGCACAGCCTAGGACTCATGATCCGAGGGGAAGAGGATGCTGCTCTTCTGTCTCAGTTCTCAGAGATGGACGGGCTCTGATTTGCCTGACAGTGTGGCTGGTCTCCTTGGACCAATACTGAGTTAAGAGTGATACATGAACCTTTTTTTTTTTCCTGTTCTTCCTGTTGTGGCCACAAGAGGCAGAATTGTCTTATTGGCAGAGTCACTAGCAGCAAAAGGAGTGAGAAGATCTACCCAACACAAGATAGAGGTGATGATGCAGTAAAACTTAGATGAAAAGGTTTTGGGAAGACAAAAACAATGCATGTCCACTACGCACATCACTGTACTGTACTATACTATAGTATACCAAACCATACCATCCTATATGAGTGGTGGTAGTAGGCAGATGTCAACTTCCAAATCCCCAGAACCTGTGAATATATTAGGTTACATGGCAAGAGAGGATTAAGGTTCTGAATAGAATTAAGTTTGCTAATCAGTGGACCCTAAAATAAGGAGATGTTCGTGAATTACCCAGATGAGTCTAATGTCATCACAAGGGTCCTTAAATGTGGAAAATAGCAGCAAAGGCGGTAGAGTCAGAGAGAAACTTTCAGTGATAGAAGTGAGGAAGATTCAGCTGGCTGTTGCTCTCTTTGAAGGAACCAAAGCCAGGAACCAAAGAAGGCAGCCTCTGGAATAGGAAAGAAAATCGATTCTCCCATACAGCTTCCAGGAAGAACACAGCCCTATAAACACCTTGATTTTGGCCCAGGGAGCCCTCTCAGACTTCGGACCATCAGGCTGTAAGAGAATAAATTTGTGATTTTTTTAAGGCACAAAGTCTGTGGCAATTTGTTCCAGCAGCCGTAGGAAACTATGACAAACAGAGGATTACATGATGTGCTGGAAGCTTTCGAGTCACATGGGCTTGACCTGAAATCTGTCTTCTGCCCCTTCAGCTGTGTGACATCAGTAAAGGTGGTCTTTCTGAACATCAGCTTTCTAATCTGTAAAAATGAAGCTATTAGTGTTTGTCTCCTAAGGTTTTTATTAAAGGTCAAATGAGGTCACATAGCAAAATTCCTGAACATAGGAAGTACTCTGTAAATCTTAGTCCTGTTACTATCATAATGCTATTCAATCCTCAAAAGAAGCCTGTAAGTTATCTAGATCATACATTATCTCCATTTCGAAGATGAGAAAACAGAAGTTCAGGAGTGTTAAGCAACATCACCTAGCTAAAAGGCCAATCTTCAAACTCTGATTTTAATTTACAGTCTGCAATCTAATTTCGGAGAACTCCCGAGGGAGTGAATACTCCCAGTGTACCTGCTGAAATCCTTCTTAGCCACCTTGTGCTAATTAAATGTTCTATTTGTGCTTCAGGCTATTCAAGAAAGCCTGAGTAATTGCGTGCATGTTGTTGTGGGAGGGGGTGGACAGTGGTGGTAATCAGTGCGCAGCAGATGCAAAAATGCAGACCTGGGAATAAAGCAGGATGATTGACCCTAGAATCACAGAGGTTTTAGAGCTGCAAGCAGAGTACACACAAATTCTTAGCCTTTGGGCCAAATGTGGCCTACCCCCATATTTTAAAGAGAACAACTGTCAGGAACTGCTCTGCCTGGTTTCAGGAATTGTAACAACCCCCCCATGGCTAAGGATGAGTGAGTGACCTCTGGAATGCGAGCCACTTAGAAGACAAAGCTTGTGTCTGGTAGCAAACGCTGCCTCTGCTTCCTCCCCCTGCCCACAAGGCATGGTCGATGGTTGATGATGGGTAAGACTCCTCACAGAGACCAGCAACCTAAGCCAGACATGATCTCTTGGGAGGCCATCATGGAAGGACTGCTGGGGGGGCTGCGACAAAGAGGGAGTGATGGAGCCTCACCCCTTGGCTCTTCTGACGTAGTCTGAGCGCCCATTTCCGCCTGGGAGAAGCGCTTCCTGGCTCAAACCCATTTAAGCCTGAAAACCTGTGATGGGGAGGCAGTGCAGCTCCTTGCCTTGCTAGAGCGGGATCTGGAATAATCAGGTATAAGAAAGAATTCCTGAGAATCCTGTGAAAGCTGCTTTGCTAAGAGTGCTTTCATTCATATGTTAAGGGTCAGAGCAGGAAATGAGTATGTCTCCCAAAGTTTCTGCAACCCCCTTTCCTGACAGACACTGACTCAGACTAAGCCCTCAGATTTCTTTGAAATGTTGTCTGCTGTTTGATCCTTATCGCCTGTATTCCTGTGTATCATAACCCAATAAAAGCCCCTGGAGGAAGGGTCTCCTGGCCTTTTTCCTCTGAGAAACTGGCCACCTCTCCTCCCCAAGCAGATCATGTCTTAGTATTGTTACTTTCATCTGTGGAGGAAGGGGGGACTTGCGGGCAAAGTCGCCCCCACAAACAACAACAAAACTATATCAGAAACTGAATAAGAATGCAGTTAGATTGGTTTTACACGTCCCAGGTTTGTCCCTGTCCCCACACTGTTCTCTAAGTCTACCTGGCCGATTCACACAACTACCTGAAATCTGAATGACAGGATGTAGTTGTCAACCCTTGGCTTAAGGAGACCTTGCAGAGTCTCTTATTTTAAAAATGAGGCCTAAGTGCCTGACTTATAGATAATGGCAGTACCGTTTATGATCAAGCAAGGAGACTTACTATGCCATCCTCTAGACAGATAAAGCCAAATTGTGTCAGAGTTGGCTATTTTCTTAAGTACTGCACAAAAGGCTGTTTGGGGATGGCAGTTTGTCAATGCAATGCTAACCCCAGACAGACGACAGGTTACCTGCACACACAGCAGGCATACAGTTAGCCATATTGCTTTTAAGATAAATAATATAAGATAGCATGTAGACACGGTGATGCACTTGAATGAGTTACGGGTATACAGAGAAATCAATCCCCATGACCATAGGGAAAGCTGGATGGACCCTGAACCTGAGAGATTCTGTGGGCTGGTTAGGACCATAATGACAATTTCATTTGATTAAGTCAGGTGTTACACAAATACTGCATTTCATCAGTTATTCCATTTGTACTTTTTCACACTTAATATCTGAGAAATCACTGTGCACATTGCAACAGATGGCTTCTTACAGTGACAGTACCCAGGCAGCTGTCGTGACTCAGTGGTTTTTGTATCTGCATGCACGAACTTGCTCACAGCTGTTCAACACATCTATTAAGTTATTAGTATTGTTGGCTGTGTATTGTTATGCTTTATTGCCATTTAAAATGTCTTTTAAAAAATTACACTGTGATTTTGCATCATAAAAAAATTAACCGTGTATGAAAGTGGGCATGAAAAGAGAACAGTGGGTTGTGCACTTGTGTCAGTGAGGAAAATACAGATTATTGTGGGGATGACCAAAATTCCATGTTTTCTTACAAAGCGAACAAGTGATTCACAGTTTCTAAGTAGGTGGGTAGTGTTGATGAGATGAATCAAAAATGGTTGCTTATTTCAGTTCAAGGTGGAGAGGTTGCCAAATCCCTCAAAATATAAAAGGTAATTTATCATGAAGAGCAAGCAAGTTTTGAGGCACAAGAACTTTTGTTAAAACATCGAATATCAATTTGTCTGAAACTTCTTGCTACTTTCGAATAGAAGCTGTTGAATATTTATCCGTTGTTGAGAAAAAGAAAATATGAGTTTAGTCATGTAGGAAATGGTGGAAAACCCTTATATTCTTTGACAACCACCCAAATTGACCTGTCAATGTTAAAAGCGCAAGGTATATATTATATTTTTTACCTGTGCCATGTGCTAAAAAGGCTGGGAAGCACTGGAAAGATAAGAAATGCTACAGGCTTTTGAGAAAGAATTTGAAGATGAATGGAGGATGAAAAGACTGTCAAATAATAGTCAATAACAGCTTTAAAAAATGGTGAAACTCACTAATGATCAATGAAAATAAAATGAGCCATTGACTTCCCACTAGTTCCAGCATTTCTCTCCTGTCTCCTTTTCAGGATCCTCACTCTTACCTCCTTTTGTTTATCCCCCTATTCTCTCTTTCTCTTCCCTTCCTACCATCTCCAATTCTTCTCTCATGAACAGAGGTCTGGCAAACATTGTTGTTAGTCCTCCTGCTGACTCTGCTGTCCGAGTCTCAGGCTCCAACACATGTGGCTCATCAGTGAAATGTCTCTGAATAGATACTTCCTTCCTGAGAGGAATTCTGGCACCTGCTGTCGCAACAATATATTTTTTCACCTTGTTAAAACTGCATTTGTAAAGTTTATAGAATATATAATAGACTACCTTACAGACCCCCAATTCTCTGTTAAACTTTTACTAATTTCAGGCACATTTGAAGTCAAGTGTCTCATGTATAAGAAATGTTCTGGCTCTTGACCCATGATAGAGGAAGACTTGTTCCTAGAGTAATTTCTAGCTTATTTCCTTCTTTTTAGCCTTCTCCAGCCCCCAGCTTTCCCAGTGCCATTCTCTGGCTCGTGAACATCGTGCTGCTCTTGTCCACCTGCTTTGAAAAGAATCCCGGATATGGCTGCAGGAAGGCCCATTCATCACTTGTGCAACCCTGGGAAACGACTTACCCTCCCCAAGCCACCCTTACCTTGTTTGTAATATGGTGACAGCTGGACCTCCCCACCTGCCTACCCACCTGCCTACTTTACAGCCTGTGATGAGGATCAAACGAATATATGAGGGATGTCAAGGTTTCTATTAAGTATAAAGCCTCAATCATGTGTGAGCATTTATTATTTCCATTCTTAAAATAATAGTTAAAATAATTAAACCATTCATTGACAAATTCAAGTTGTATTAATGTATACATTTTTAAAGAATTTGAAGGTAAAACTACACAGTTGTATTTGATTATTAGAATTTTGTGGGCTCCTCTCAGCAGTGGCCCAGATGCAGGAGTCCCCTGTTGGCAGCTCATTCCCTGAGCAGTCACACCTGTGTTGTGGGCAGGACCTCTCTCCTGGGCTTGGGAGGCTGGCCCAGCAACACCCCCTCACCCCAACTCAGATGCAGGAAGATGCCCCACAGAACCTCACAGCACCCTCAGGCCAGGCCACACATTTGTTAAAAATTGGGAGATGGGGAGGCCAGATCTATCAGTTAGCAGGCTATTTCTTTTAATTTATTTTTTCAAATTTCTGGCAGGTAGAGCAATTAGCTTTTGCTATGTAATTTTTTTAAATTAAAATTTAGAAGTCCACAAATCCCCAATGTCATACTATAAGCGAACACGTACTTAGCTTACATGTCTAGGGGGTTAGTGTTGGGTTGGCCAGTCTAGGCTGGACTCAGCTGAGGTGCCTCTCACTCTGCTCCTGGGACCAGCAGGCCAGCCACGCACATTCTTGGAGGCTATGTAGAAGTGCAAGACAGCAAGCAGGAACCCAAGCTAGTTAAGGCCCACACTCGGAACTGGCAAGCCATTATTTCTGCCTCTTTTTATTAACCAACACAAGTCACGTGGCCAAACTCAGTGTCAAGGAGTTGGGAAATACACTGCTGAGTCTCACTGTTTGTGGTAGTCATGGTCTATAAAGCCACCGTGAACACTGAACTAGTAAACACCGAGCCACTACTCCCCAGGGAAACACTGGCTGGGTTTCTGTGAGCTTCTGGGCACATTGTCATCAGCAGATCAATACTCAACTTTGCTTTATGTGTTTCTGTGTAAAGACACCTCACTTAATATGTATTACTGATCCATTACCATTGGATTCACAACCACCAGCACCATAATTTATGCCTGAAGGAACTTATCTAACATGTGGTACATCACTGACTTCTCGGACTTACGAACACTAGATGGTGCATCGGCACAATGCTTTGGCCGTGCACATATATAGTGAAATCACCAGCAAAAAACACAAAAATGCTAAAAATGTGGCACTAAATAGACTGCAAAAAAGAACACTTGTTTCCAGGATTTGACTTCAGCTGGGCATGCAAGTTTTTTGCCACTCCTCCGCCCATCACTGTGAATGACTGCAAAAGTGACCAGCGTATTGATTTGGGGAAGGGGAGAGGGTTATTGAATTGTTAACAAATAAATGTTAGCAAGTAGGCAGGATTCAAAAGGCAGGATTCACGAATAATGAGGATCGACACTACTTTGCCCCTTAATGGGAAAAACTTAAAAGTTATATGGTAAACAACGTGGATAAAGGGAGGGATAAAAAACTGGGGCAATAATGCAGCATCTTGGGTCCCATCTCAGACTCAGAGATGATTTTGAATCAAAACTTGCATTTCATAATCCCCAGATGTTTATATGTCCATTCAGGTTTGAGAAGTGCTGCCCTCAATACGATTGTAACTACATCCATGCCAGAAGGGGACATTTAAACATCCCCTTAAAAGGGGACATTTAAGAAGGGGACAGTTAAACCCTATGAAGATTAGGAACCTACCACAATAATAAAGTTTTAATGAGTCCACAAGTCTAGGCATGCTGGGACAACCTCTGTAGAGTGGAAAAAAAGTTCTTTCTCATTAATTGGGAGGAAGCAGAGCACTGGGTAGGCTATTTGGCCTTTGAAGGCAGTACATGCCACATGAGGGAATACAGCTGCAGCACTTCTATTGAGTAACATGGACGGTCCCCACTTAATTGGGTCCCCACTCTCTGAGCAAGAGAGTGTTCTGCAGCAAGTGCAAGCTGAAATGGCAAGCTGCCTTGCTATTTCTCTGCAGATCCAGTGGTGCTAGAGATGTTCAAGGTGGGTAAAGATGCTGTATGGAATCTTAGGTAAGCCCTAATAGGAGAGCCGTGATGCAGAAACTCAGTTCTGGAGCAAGTCCATTCCTCTGACATCAAGTCATTTGTAAAATAGCCCCTGGCATGTCACTGAGAACCTGGCCATGCAACTTAAGTGTTATGCAACTACAACTGTCCATCATGTGCTGGATATTTCAGATTTACCAAAGAACAGTTGGGTGGGGACGGCAACAAGCTATCAGATAGATAAGGAAAAAGAGGAGTCATGCAATGGAAATTCCTTGGAAGTCAAAGAACAGTGGTCAGATAAACATGAGTGGGAGAGTTGGAAATTCCCCAAGAAAGGCAAACACAGTATAATAAAATAGTCTTTTTCTCACTGTCTAACTGCTCCTCTCCCCGAATGCTATCTATTGGGTGCAGAAGGGTTATATGCACTGTACCCCATGTGGAATCTCTGAAGTTACCATTGACAATTCCTGTTCATCAAAGGGATGCTCCCTTAAAACAGTGTCTCTTTAATTTGTGCCTGCCTCTCTAACTCCATGACTACTGCCTCAATTAACTCCCTCATCATTTCACTTGCAAGTTTTCTACCTTATTGGCAAATGGTATTTCAGTATACCTGATTATTCCATTTACTTCTCAAATCTTTATTGGGTATCTATTATGTATCAGGCACTGGGTTAGGTCTTGGGAAAACAATGTGAAGAATTTAAAAATTAGGCTGCAGCTGGCCTCATGGAATTTATAGTCTGTTAGATGACTGATAAGAAAATCCTGCTTAAAATCCTTCAGTGATTCCCTGCAGTTTTCTAGATGAAGCCCAGATGTCTTGACTGGCCTGTCCCTGCTTATCTATCTCTCCAGCATCACCTCTAACCACTGCCCTTCAACTTCGCATACTCCACAGCCTCAACGCTTACTTTCCCTTCTTCAAAGCACCCTTTTAAAAGGGTTTATTCCGCTGCCCACCTTCTCCAGGAAGCCTTGCGGACAGTCCCCTCAACCTTTGGGTGCACTTCTATATGTGTAGTTCCACCACACCTCATGCTACCATGATCTGCATCACACTTTATTATGATTCCTCATTCTTTTGTCCCCCTCTTGTCTTCTACTTGAAGCTCAGTGTTGTGTAACCAATACTAAGTACAGCATCTGATTCACAACAGGAACTTGACATTTTTTTCCAACAGGCCCCCTACTCTGCAACAGCACACAAGGTCAAAACATCACTTCTGCACCTCAACAAAGGAGCTTCTGTGGCTTAAACCCCCGGTCAAAGTTACCCTGTGCCTACCTCTTAGACTCTGACTAGTATTCAGTGGTGCGCCCCCTAGCGCCTGCGGCTAACTCGGCAGGAATGGGTGGGGCGCCCGCAAGCACGCGTTCCAGACCAGCTCCTAGCGCATGCGAAGTACGCCGGAGCTTGGCTCCGATGGGAAGAGTCCAAGCGTGAGGAAAGGGGGCTGTAGACCCAGATACTTTTTTTTTTGCAGTAGGTAGATAGCTCATTAATTTCCTCCATGAATGTATTTTAGCTTAAAATTTAGGGCTAACACGTGGCTTTTCAGGGAGCGAGAAAGGGTCTGGAGTGTTATCACATTCTTTATTGTCCTTCAGCACCCCTCCTAGAGGGCGGTGGGGTGGACGGTCCCAGCTCGGGACGCGCGGGGGCGGAAGCGGCGGCGGCTGCGACCGCGTCCGCTGTCAGAGCTGGAGAGTGGCCGGGCGGAGCTGCTATGGAGCGTCAACGCTGGCTGCCGCTGGAAGCCAATCCAGAGGTGAGCGTGGTTCTGATTTAGGTCTGGGAACCTAGGGGGGGCGAAGGGAACCGGGCTGCCGTAGCTCGTCCGGGTGGTTTGTTTCTAAGTCTTGTTCTCTGTTTCGTTTCCAGGTCACCAACCAGGTGAGTGAGGTATCCCGACGCTCGGGACCCTGGAGCCCTCCCTGGCCATCTACACCTCCACGCCCCCTAGGAGTCTGGGATTGAATTCCGTGAGGGTACCTCTTGGGATATGATAGATAGATAGAGGTATGCTCATTTTAGGGCCGTCTCTCCTTCACCTGGCTCCTGGATGGAGGTGCGCCCAGTTGTTTCGGCTTCTGTGATCCCCTGACCCCATCATCTCGTTTTCTGGGTCTCGGGGTTTGAGGTTTGTCCACCCAGTATTCTTACTCCTCATTCCCTTTTCGTTTTGCCTCCCGCTTGTGCCCATTCCATAGTTTTCCCACCCCGGTATTTTCTGGGTGACTAATTTGCCTACACTACCTGACTCCAAGCTTTGTAAACTCGCCCACCCAGTCCTTGTAATTTCATCCACCGCCTGCACTGTGAAATCATCTTTCAATCATCTCTTGCCCCATAAAAATCACTTCTCTTCCCTGTCACGCCCCTTTTCTCTTCCAGTTTCTTAAAACTGGAATTCAATTGTTTTGATACCGTGAGAAGCCCAGTATCATTGTTCCCACACTATTCTTTGCTACAGAAAACCTTTAAAGTTCGTCCGGGTTTGGAGATTCAACTGTGGGAAGGGAAGAGGGAACATCCCCCAGCCACTCGATTAAAAGAAAATAAGTGCTACCACGTTTAAACTTTGGACTTGGTTAGGTGTATTTTGCTTTACATTCTCAACAAGCTGGTTTACTTTTTACTGCCGTCTTAGTTTATTATATGATAAACATTCCTCCCGTAATCTCATTACTAAGGAATAACGATTTGTCATGTAATGAATTGGCTTTTGGTTTTCAAAGCTTGCAGAAAATTCCTTATTTAAGGAAAGGTAGACATATTTGAATGTAGGCAGCAAACTCTTTGTCTTCTTATTCGGGTTTATTAGTACAATTTTGAAATGACTTTTATTCTCCCAGCTCTAATCGCTTTAGTAATATGGGAAAAGCTTAAAACCCAGCATATATCTTTTACATTATTCTTAATGGTGGCCTTTCCTATCAACATTTTCTTTTGTTTTACCCCCTTTTGAAATTTGGTGTTCATTTTTCCCCTAATGCATTTTGACCACTTTGTAAAGTGAGAATAATCTTCAGGCAGGCGAAGTCAGTATTTGCAACTTCTGATTTCATGCCATTGGGAAAGAAGGATATTTCTCTCAGACTTATTCAAAACAGTTTTTGCACCTTTTGTGAAAAATCAGTTTGCTGTATATCTGGAGACTGTTCATTTCCATTGATTTGTTTTTCTTCTTTCACCAGTACCACACTGTGGTTGGATTACTGTAGTTTCATAGTGTCTTATTTTTCAATATTGTTTAGAATCAGCTTGACGATTTCCAGAAAAAAAGCCCTGTTTCATCATTAAAGATGTGATTTTGATGGTGAATGTGTGCCTAAATCTAGAACTACAGTTTGGGGAAACTGAGCATCCTATCAATATTGAGCCTTGCAGTCCATGAAGATGGTACATATTATTATTTACTTGATTTGTTTCAACTGTTTTTTGTACTCGCAACGTGTAGATCTTGCACATATGGTGTTAGATTAATACCCAAGTATTTAGTAATCACTTGGTGCTATTGTAAATTACACTGTATAAAAGTTTTAATTTCTAATTGTCTATTGCTATATATAGAAATACTATTTTGAATAAAAATCTTTAAATAAAATTAATATGTTCATAATTAAAGGTAAAGGAAACACATTTCCTTGAGTTCAGTATTTTAGGTAATTGTGATTTCCATAAATAGGGTTACTGAGCATCATTTGAATATTTCCATGTTGGAAGCTTCCATAGCCTTTTCTTGATAGGAATTCCAGTTTTTCTGAGTTCTTCTCTTTTTCTCAGGTGTTCCATTTTGCCTGCTGCATGAAAGGCAGGATCCTTATAGTAAGGCATTAGACATTCTTTCAATGCGGAGTTTTCTTTCTGGCATGTTACTACCATGAGGATTCCAGATTCCTTGCAACATCTGGAAAAATCTTGCACTTGTTTGGAACATCTCTCTTGGGCCTTTTCTAATTATTTTAGAGACTCAAAACACCTTTTTCAACATGTCTGAGATGCTGTCTCAGCAACAGAGCTGGAGATACTGGTTTTTATATGTTGATTTTGTGCTTTACTAAATTCACTTATTCTGGTAGCTTTTTTTTTTTAAAGATTTATTTATTTATTTATCTTTAGAGGGGAAGGGAAGGAGAGAGGGAGAGAAATATCAATGTATGGTTGCATCTTGTGTGTCCCCTGCTGGGAACTGGCCTGCAAGCTAGGCACGTGCCCTGACTGGGAATCGAACCGTGGTTGCTTGATTCCTGGGCCTGCGCTCAATCCACTGAGCTACACCAGCCAGGGGGATATTCTGGTAGCTTTTTTTTTTGGATGCTTTGGGATTCTCTACATGGACAATCATATTCTCTGAATAGACTGTTTTATTTCTCCCTTTTGGATCTGTATGCCTTTTATTCCTTATTGCAACATTAATAGGATAGAGATAAGAAAGCACTTTTACCCTGTTTTAGATGTTAGGAGGGAAACATTTACTCTTTCATCATTAAAGATGTTAGTTATAGGATTTAGGTAGATGCTTTTTATCAGGCTAAGAAAGTTCTCTTCTTTCCCTAGTTTGCTGAGAGTTTTTATCCTCTATCAATGTTGAATTTTCTCAAATGACTTTTCTGTATCTCTTGAGATGATTATTTAAAGAAGAAAAAATATGAATTCTACATAATGATAGAATCACCCAGCAATCACCACTCTTTTGTCCATGTCCATGAGTGGACACTCACTTTATCCTTTTTGTTCAATCCTCCACCCCCAAACTCCCCCACCGCCCCAATGATTTAAGTCTTTTCTGAACATGCCTAGACCCTAGAGCTGAGATGTCTTCCAAAACTTTATTATTCTTGGTCATCTTTCTTTCAGTTTGTTATTGTCCTTTATAAAATAGGCCTCCTAGAGTGATATCATAATTCACTCTGAATAATCTGTGTTGAATATAGTGGGTTACTGCATTATTCTGAATAATACTTTTTAGTAAAATTTTCAATTGTAGTTGATATTCAATATTATTTTGTAACAGTTTTAAGTGTACAGCCTGGTACTTAGACTTTTATGCAATTTATTAATCGATCCCCTGCCAATAAAGTCTAGTACATACCTGGCACCATATGTAGTTATTACAGTGTTATTGACCATGTTCCTTTACATCCTGTGCTGTACTTTATATCCCACGACTATTTTGTACTTCCAGTTTGTACTTCTTAATCCCTTTTTCACCCAGTCCCCCAATGCCCCTCTCATCTTGCAGCCTTCAGTTTTTTTTTCTGTTTCTGTGAGTCTGTTTCTGTTTTATTTATTTTGTTCTTTAGATTCCACATATACATGAAATCATATGGTATTTTTCTTTAATGGACTTATTCCACTTAGCATAATATCTGCTAGGTCTATCCATAGTGTCTCAAATGGTAATATTTCATTCTTTTTTAATGGCCAAGTAATATTTCATCATATATATGCATCATACCTCATTTATCCAGTTGTCTATTGACAGGCACTTAGATTGCTTTCAAATCTTGGCTATTGTAAATAATGCTCCTTTGAACATAGGGGTGCATATGAGGTCTCTACAGAAAAAATCCAACTGTTGTTAATATAACGAGAACAGTTTGTACTACATCAGTGTAACCTGGCAGCCAAAGGGAGTGGATTGGAATGCATATGTGTGAACAATGATGACTTCACTGTACTAGTCAGTGGGGGCTGTGGATGCCATTAAGTGAGCATGTATATGGTGCAGCTATTGCATTCAAAATGACTGTGTGAGTAAAGCAACAAATCTGCATCAGATTTTACATTGAGCTTGAACATTACTCTGGAAACTATTTGAATAATTCAGAAGGCTGCAACTATGGGCAACTGGTGATTGGCAGATTCATCCCAACAGTGCACCCGCGCCTGCGTCACGTCTTGTGCAGAGTTTTTGGTGAAATGTCAAATCACCAAGGTGACTGAGCTCCCCTTACAGTCCAGATTTGGTGCTCTGTGACTTTTGGCTTTTCCCAAAACTAAAAATCACCTTTAAAAGGAAGAAATTTCAGACAATCAATGTGATTCAGGAAAAATATGGTTAGGCAGATGATGGAGACTCCAACAAACAATTTTACAGAGTGTTTTGAACAGTGGAAGAGATGCTGGGAGAACCGTGTGATGTCCCAAGGTGCTTACTTTGAAGGGGACTGAGGCATTACTGTCCTATGTACAATGTCTCTTGTATCTTGTATCTTGTTCAATAAATGACTCTATTTTACATAGTAAAATATGTAAACTGGATACTTTCTGGACGAACCTCATATATCTTTTGGAATTGGTATTTTATATTTCTTTGATAAATATCCAGAAGTGGAATTGCTGGCACATAAGGTAGTTTTTGTTTTTGTTTTTTTTTAAATTTTTTGAGGAGCCTCCATGCTGTATCCCATAGTGGCTGCAACAGTGTACAGTCCCATGAACAGCACACAGGGTTCCCCTTTCTCCGTATCCTCGCCAACATTTGTCGTTTGTTGATTTTTTGCTGATTGCTAACAGCCATTCTGACAGGTAGGAAGTGATATTTCATTGTGGTTTTAATTTACATTTCTTTTACATTTCTCTGAATATTGGAGACCTTGAGCATATTTTCATATGTCTATTGGTCGTCTGTATGTCCTCTTCAGAGAAATGTCTATTCAGGTCCTCTGCCCATTTTTTTAAATTGGATTGTTTGTTTTTTTGGTAAGTTCTGTGTGTTCTTTATAAATTTTGGATATTAACTTCTTATCAGATGAATCATTGGTGAATGTTTTCTTCCATTCAGTAGGGGGTTTTTTGTTTTTGTTGTTGATAGTTTCCTTTGCTGTGCAAACTCTTTTTAGTTTGATGTAGTCTCATTTGTTTATTTTTTCTTTTTCTCTCTTGCTCAAGGAGATATAGCCAAAAAAAAAAAAAATACACAGAGGAATGTCAGAGAGTTAATTGCTCGTGTTTTCTTCTAGGAGTTTTGTGGTTTTGAGTATTACTTGTAAGTTTGATCCATTTTGAGTTTATTCTTGTATATGGTGTAAGAAAGTGTTTTACTTCCATTTTTTTGCATGTAACTCTTCAGTTTTCCCAGCACCATTTATCGAAGAGACTGTCTTTAGGCCAGTTTATATTCTTGCCTTGTCATAGATTAATCCACTGTGTAGGCATGGGCTAATTTTGGGCTCTGTTATGTTCCATTGATCCATGTGTCTGTTTTTATGCCATTTCTATGCTGTTTACTATAGTATTGATTACTATAGTGTCGTATAGTTTGGTATTAGCACGATTCCTCCTACTTTGTTCTTCTTTCTCAATATTGCTGTGTCTATGTGGGGTCTTTTGTGATTCCACGTAAATTCTAGAAGTATTCTAGTTTTGTGAAAAATGTCATTCGATAAATGAATTCAGTAAAGTAGCAAGATACAAACAAATTAAAACGATACTTATTTCTATGGTAGACTAGCATTCCATCACTTGTTGACTGTTGAGGAGTCAGTCCATGTTGAGCCTGCAGAGAAGGAAACTCTTTTTTCTTAATTCCACATACAATGTTTACAGTGTTTTCCCATTCTGTACTGAAATAATTAAATTAATTAATTATTTTTTTACCAAATCTCTACTAAAATTTATTTTACTAGTTTCTAGGTTTTAAGAACCATCAATTTTTCATTTAACTATTGGTTATGCTCCTGGTTTTTATTTTATTTTATTTATTCATTTTTAGAGAGAGGTGAAGTGTGGGGGAGAAAGAGAAGAAGAGAAACATTGATGTGAGAGAGAAAGATCAATTGGTTGCCTCTCATATGTGTCCTGTCCAGGGACGGAACTGCAACCCAGGCATGTGCCCTGACTAGGAATTGAACCAGCGACCTTTTGGTTTTCAGGCGGGTGCTCAATCCACACCAGCTAGGGCTAATTCAGTATATTTCTTATTAAACATATCTAGGACCTTATTTTTGAGCAATCATGTTATCCTTACATAGAGTTTCTTCTACAGGCAAAAAAATGGAGGGGTATTGCCATTAAGCAGGAAGGTCTTGTCTTTTGGAACCTGTGTGTGAGATGAATAACACTGTTGATGTAACATGGCATGCTTTCCATTGGTTTAGCACGGTAATTTTTGAGCAGAGTGCCACAAGAATTTTTAAAACATGCAGTACCTGACTATTTAGTCAGGGGCACTGACCTCTTTTCCTTTAAATTGTTAATTAAAAAAAAATGACAACAGAGCAGAGACTTCTGCCAGGATGGAGGCGTAGGTGGAAACACTCTGCCTTCTCTCACAACCGAGTTTAAAAACAATAAAGTTTTAGCAAGAAAAATGCAGCCAAACGATAGAAAATTGAACTATACGGAAGTCTGACAACAATGAACCCTTCAGCCAAACTGGTAAGAGGGGCAGAGCCAGCAGCAGAGCGGGGTCAGGCAGGAAAGACCTACCTGACCGACTGGAGCTCGACCCAGGTGGGCAGCCAGTGGGCGGATCCCAGGTGTGGAGTGGCAGCAGGTGGACCCACTGAGGGCGCAAGGCAGCGGACCCACTGAGGGCTGACTGTGGTCACACATTCGTGCACAGGTAACTGGAGAAGGAGCGTGCAGTGAGACTGAGACAGACCTTGCAGGCCCCAGAGGAGAGGGGACCGCCATTGTCCCTCTCTGACCCCACCCCCACATACGGCATCACGAACCAGCAACCTGGGTGGCCCCTCTCTGACCCAGCCCCCAAATACAGCACCACAAATCAGCAACCTGGGTGGCCCCACCCTGGTGAACATCTAAGGCTCCACTCCTCATACCTAACAGGTGCGAACAGAGCAAAACATTATGGCTCAAGAAGAACAGCTCAAAGCCCCAGAGCCAATAACTCTAAGCAACCAAGAAATAGCAAAACTTTCAGATGCACAGTTCAAAACACTGGTGATCAGGATGCTCACAAAACTGGTTGATTTTAGCCACAAATTAGAGGAACATATGAAGGCTAAACTAATTGAAATGAAGGGGAATGCACAGGAAACCAATAGTAATGGAAAGGAAACTGGGACTCAAATCAAGGGAGTGGACCCGAGGAGAGGCTTAGGAACCTTCAGGACATCTTTAAACATTCCACCATCCGAATTATAGGGATACCAGAAGGGGAAGAGGAACAGCCACGAGTGGAAAATTTATTTGAACAAATAATTAAGGAGAACTTCCCCAGTCTGGCAAAGGGAATAGACTTCCAGGAAATCCAGGAAGCTCAGAGAGTCCCAAAGAAGTTGGACCCAAGAAGGAACACACGAAGGCACATCATCATTACATTAGCCAAGATTAAAATGAAGGAGAGAATCCTAGAAGCAGCAAGAGCTAAGGGGACAATCACCTACAAAGGAGTTCCCATCAGACTGTCAGCTGATTTCTCAAAAGAGACATTACAGGCAAGAAGGGTCTGGAAAGAAGTATTCCGAGTCATGAAATCCAAAGACCTACAACCAAGATTGCTCTGTCCAGCAAAGCTTTCATTTAGAATGGAAGGACAGATAAAGTGCTTCTCAGATAAGATCAAATTCAAGGAGTTCATCATCACTAAGCCCTTATTCTATGAAATGTTAAAGGGACTTACCTAAGAAAAAGAATATAAAAAAGATGAACAGTGAAAGGACAGCAAACTCACAGTTATTAAGAACCACACCTAAAACAAAAGCAAACTAAGAGGACAGCTAAATCAGGAGCAGAATCATAGAAATGAAGACCACATGGAGGGTTAGCAACAGGGGAGTGGGAGAAGGAGAAGGGGGGAGAAGGTACAGAAAATAAGTAGCATAGACGGTAGGTAGAAAATAGATAGGGGGGAGGGCAAGAATAGTAGGGAAAATATAGAATCTAAAGAACTTGAGACATGTGGTCATAAACTAAAGGGGGGGAATGGTGGGGGAGGGGTGTGCAGTGTGGAGGGGAATGAAGGGGGGAAATAGAGCAACTGTAATGGCATAACCAATAAAATATATATTTAAAAATTTTAATTTAATTAAAAAAATGACAGTAGCCAACACAATAGTCATCCAGTGTGAATGCCTTGTCTTGAACCGTAAATTTGTAGGTCATATAATAGAGTGGGTCACATTGCATAATAAGGTTATGTCTAATTGGTTGATTCTCAGTGCCAGAAACTCTTACATACAAGTAGGCACCTGATTTTTTACAGTCACTTTGGAGCAAAATGGGTAGGTAATTACTATTATTATTTTTTGTAAATCAATCAAAATTATACCTATTTTTTGTCAGATCAGCAAAAAATATATTTGTTGGTATGCTGCAGAACTTTAGTAATCAGTTTATGAGTGCCACAAGACGAAAAAGGTTGAAAATCGCTGGATTGGCAAGATCTTATCTGATGATCTAAGAACATGTGACTGTTCTGCAGGGAGAAATACCCAAGGCACCTCTTTATTTTTAAATTTCAGATAATGTTAGACCAGTAGGTAGTATCATGTAGATTTGAGATACAGTATAATGATGAATTCTTTTTTTAATATATTTTATTGGTTATGCCATTACAGTTGTCCCATTGTCCCCCTTCATTCCCCTCCCCCCTGCACACCCCTCCCCCACCATTCCCCCCTTTTGTTTATGTCCACATGTCACAAATTCTTTAGCTTCTACATTTCCCATATTATTCTTGCCCCCCCCCCCGTCTATTTTCTACCTACCGTCTATGCTACTTATTCTCTGTTCCTTCTCCCCCTTTCTCCTCCTCTCACTCCCCTGATGTTAACCCTCCATGTGATCTCCATTTCTACGGTTCACTCCTGATCTAGCTGTCCTCTTAGTTTGCTTTTGTTTTAGGTGTGGTTCTTAATAACTGTGAGTTTGCTGTCCTTTCACTGTTCATCTTTTTTATCCTCTTTTTCTTAAATAAGTCCCTTTAACATTTCATATAATAAGGGCTTGGTGATGAGTGAATTCTTAATATGTTTTTTTCACTTCCTTTTTTGTCATCTGAAACTTAGTTTCTGATGAATTACTTTTAAAAATTACCCACTTCATTCAGTGCAGACATTTGTTAAGACTTTAATGTGAAATTGATATCATCCTCATTATTATTTTACATTTTCTTTTTGCAATAGATTAGGGCCTGACATTATATTTTCTTTTGAAATCTTAATCCAAAACCACCGTTCTATTGCTGCAGTTGTTTTGCCAGATATGAGAGAAGCAGTGAAGTTGAGTAGGTTTCACTGTGCACCAGAGGTCAGGGGGCCAGGAGTCTATTGCCTATAGCCAACATTCTCTGATGTTTGCCCTAGTCCTTTGGGCTTTTTGGCTTTATATACTCTTTGCTTATTGATATGATTTGTGATGTTTACCTATTTATGATTAAACTTCAGGCATCATTTTTAGTAAGCAGGATAAAAATGTGTTGAAGTTCTAATAAATAATTATTGACTAGAACGTAGATGCATCTCATTAAGAATCAAGTGCTGGAAATGAGTTTTAACATATCAGTCAAGACAATGGGTGTGGGTTTGGTGAAGTATTGGCTTATTATATTCAGCCCTAAAGTAATGGATTTTGAAAAAAGTTTTGCTCAATATATAATAAGGTTTAAATACTTGTTAATTGATAAAAATACATTGGTATCCCTGCTTATCCTGTTCATGGGAAATCTGCTTCATTCTTACTGCGTATCAGTAATATTTATACCTTGCTTTCCCTTTTATGTATCAGATGCACGTACTTCCATGTTGATTATTTCCTTATTGACACTATATTTTTTCTTCCTTTTACCAGTTTCTTAAACAGTTAGGTCTGCACCCTAACTGGCAGTTTGTTGATGTGTACGGGATGGACCCTGAGCTCCTGAGCATGGTGCCGAGGCCCGTGTGCGCGGTGCTCCTTCTCTTCCCCATTACAGAAAAGGTAATTGTGAAGTGAGACACACAGTTTGCAGTAGGTGCAAAGTTCTCTTTTACTGGTCGGTTAAAAATTACACTTGTCTTTAAGAACAGAAGACTCTCTTATTGCATAAACAAGGAAATCTAGGCTGAGGGATACCTTAAAATCTAGTTTTCTCGAAGAGATGGTATTTAGATTTGACTTACAGGTTGACAGTAAAGCCCTGAGTTAGTCTTTTAAACTTGGGTAATTTTTCTTCTTTAAAAAAATTTGGTTAGTTTGCTTCTCTGGTGGTTTGATGTGACATTTAATCACATTTTGATGTATACATTATAGAAAAGTATATAGTTTAGAAGTGCATGTGCCCTGACTGAGAATTGAACCAGTGCCCTTTCCCTTTGTAGTATGAGGCCCATCCGACTAAGCCACACCAGTCAGGGCTAGAAATGTTTTTTTAATTATGGGTTTTAATAGGTAACATTTGGTTCGTTTGTTGCAAGGATCAGCAAACTTTTTCTCTAAAGGACCAGATAGTAAATTCTTTCAACTCTGCAGGCCTTATAGCCTCTGTTACAATTATTTAGCCTTGCCTCTAGCATGAAAATAGCCAGACAATACAAAAATAAACTGTACTTCTGAAAACAGGCAGTCGGTCAGATTTGGCCTGCAGGTTGTAGTTTGCTGGCTCCCTACTCTATTGGAATCTGGAAATTGTAAGAAAACAATAGACAAAACATTAAAGTCATCTTTCTCCTTTTGCTCTCTTGCTCCTCCTCACTCATTTTTAACCTCTGTGTATTTTTAACCTCTTTTTACAAATGGGGCACAGAGACATCAATTGGTTGAAGTTGCACAGCTAATAGTGGCGAAGCCAGGATGTGAACTCTGGCAGGCAGATGGGGAGCTCACACTGTCGACATTCACCAGTGCACTACATTGTTTTACAACCAGTTACCAGAGAGAATGGTCACTATTTGTTAGGAACATTGTGTGCTTAGAAATACAGTGGGAATTTTGTTATGATAGTATGATTTAATAATACAGAAATGCAAAAAATAGAAAGTAAAAATTCTCTAGTAATCTCCTACCCCAGAGATAACTTCTTTATGTTTTTGTGTATCTTTTCAGGTTTTTCAATGTGTATATAAAATAAATAGTTTAAAAATATAAATGAGAACTTAATTAATATATTGACCTATAAAGCACTCTATAATCATAGATTGCTAAGTAAGAATATGAAAATCTGTTTTTAAAAAAATGCTTTATAGTATTTCAGTAGGATATCCCATAATGTGTTAACCAAATTCCCATAGATAGATATTTAGATATTTAGAATTTTCCAAATTTTGTGTGTAAGTCCTTTTTAATATATTATTTTCAAATTTTGACTGTTGACTTTTTGCTTTAACAGTATGAAATATTCAGAACAGAAGAGGAAGAAAAAATAAAATCTCAGGGACAAGATGTTACATCATCAGTGTATTTCATGAAACAAACGATCAGCAATGCCTGTGGAACAATTGGACTGATCCACGCTATTGCCAACAATAAAGACAAGATGCACTTTGGTAACTAATGTTTCATTACGGCCGTTTTTTTGCCCCTTAAGGTACAAGTTATCTTATTGAGCACTAGGTGGTGCTCTCATTCTTTCTTTCAAAGTATTATGTAGATTGTTTTCCTCCTTTTGTTTATAATGGGATGTATATACTGTTACAACTATTAATCCTTCCCATACTTTTATATTACTGGTGAACAGAGGTTTAACAAAACAAACAAACAAATAATTTAAGCCCTGTCTTTTATCCCAATATTCTTATATTCTTGATTTGTCAGCAAAAGGGTTTTACCTGAAAAATAGGCAGCATGCTTCTAGTATTTCCATATATCAGTCTCTTTGAGATCAAACCTTTACAATTTTATCTTCCTTAATGTTCTCAGAATCTGGATCAACCTTGAAAAGATTCCTGGAGGAGTCCGTGTCCATGAGCCCTGAAGAACGAGCCAGATACCTGGAGAACTATGACGTCGGTACCCTCTGTCTGTCTTGGTTTCATATGTGGGCAGAGTTCTGTGGGATTGTAGATTCGGTTTGGGGGTTTATCTTCAAACTGTAGTTCTGGACAATTTTGGATTTTGTCATATCCATTAAAAGAGGCATTTTGCACTTTTCAGGTAACAGTACTGAAATACATATAAATGTTGATAACTTGCCACTTCTTTTCTATGTCCAGAGCTGAATGAGAGAAAAAAAGCAATTTGATTTACAAATTTATAAAATATGTTATGGTAGGCTATTTCTTACCATTCCTTCCTTATAGTAAATCCTGACAATATTCTGTGTGTTTCTCGTGAGGAATTTGGAATAAGGCTGAAGACCAATGGAAAAAAACAGGTTTAAAGGTAGACGTGAGACCATACTCTAGCTCTTTTAGCAGCATAATATTTTTGGATTGTGAAGACAGAATTCACATAATCTAGTTTAAAATGATTGTACCAGTTCATAGAATTTTCTTAGAATAGTATTTAAATTTTATTTTTGAAATCTGTTTTTCTTTTGAGAGCATTTTACCTTTTTTAAAATTTATTTTTCAGTTATACTTGACATATTATATTAGGCTTTTTACCTTTGGGTAACATTAATTAAATTATAAGAAGCAGTGTAGTTGTGCATATTACTCGGCTAGAGCACAGGTGGCAAACACGAGGCCCGAGGGCTGAATCCAGCCCTCCACCTTGTTTTATCCGGCCCAATACCTGGTTTCTACCCAGCAGCAGTGCTGAGCTCCTTGCCCCTAGTTAAGCAGTAGTCACATTTATAAAGTCCTAAAGTTACATTTGGCCCTTCGAAGGCAACTGCAAGGTGGATGTGGCCCCGGTGAAAATGAGTTTGACACCCTGGGCTAGAGCAATGCCTTACGCAGTTTGTTCCCAATAAAACCATTGATTAGATAATGTTATTTTGCCGTTGCAATATACCTTGATTATTTTAAGTTGTTTTTTTCTTAAAAAGTCCTGCAGAGTTCATAAAACATCTTTATTTTACATAAAAGCAAAATAACACAAAAGTGAACAGTATGAGAGGTAGCCACCATTAATATTTTTATAGGGAACATATATGTATATTCACAATATTTTATAGTTAAAATATGATCACACTGTAACATTATTTTATAACTTGCTTTTTTCACTTAACTTATCACAAACGTATTACATACCAGTAAGTATATATTTGACATCATCATTTAATGGCTGCATAGCTTTCCATTGTATAGTATTTTACGTAACCAGTAATTTATTGTCATAAATTTAATATTTTTCTCTTTTTCACTGTTTAAAAAAATACTAAAAGGTATATCATTGTAGCTGAATCTTTGCAAATATCCATAACTATATATGCTTTTGTACAATCATATGTAACTGTATGGACTTCTAGAAGAAAAACTGCTGGATCAAACATTTTGCATGTTTTTAAGGCTTTGATACTTACTGCCAAATTGCCATGCATTGAGGATGTACTTTCACCTGTAATTTACTACTTCGCCTATTTCTTTTCATCTTTGCTAATAGTAGGTATTACAAGAGCATTTTTTTTAAGTTCCAGAAACTAAAATCTCTAGCTTCTGATAAACGCATGCTTTTTGCTCCACATTCTAAACTGCTGACTGAAGCTGCATGACTAAGCGTAAATACAGCCAGAGCTGCAGAGGGGCATGCGACCTGAGGAAGCAGATGAGCTCAGCTTCTTCGTCTCTGTCTGTGAGATGCTGACTTTGTTCCAGTCTCAGTCGAATAGAAGTTAAATGTTAGTTCTAACAATTAAGTCCGATGAGTCCTGCTTACACGTGGGAATTACAAATAGTCCGGTATTCAGTACCCCAAGTCTTCAGAGATTTGTGGGTTGGAAAGTACAGCCGTTCATTTAGCCTCGCAATTCATTCTTAAATGTTTAATAGTAAACTTTCCCTAAATTTCTTCCAGTTTGTTGTTTCATCAGTGTTTCAGATGTTAAAATTTAATATTGTTGTTTTTATTTAAAAAGTGGGGTATAGTCATATTTTTTCCCATTAATTCCTTGTATTCCTATTACAGGCTATTCGAGTCACTCATGAGACCAGTGCCCATGAAGGTCAGACTGAGGTACTTCACATTTTTCCAAAGTTTTCTTGCCATGTGTAAATTTAACCACAGTGTTCTTGTATAACATGTCGTTTTATAAAATTACTTGGGCTTTTTTTCCTTTTGAAGGAATTTGCTTTTGTAAGAAGGAGTCACAAAGCAAGATAACATTTTTGGACAAACTGTTGACGTGCACGTCGGTACTGGCCACCTCAGTTTGTCCAGTCACTTGCAGAGACTGCAGGTTGTGTGTTGTTTGCCATGGGTGCCCGAAGGCCAGTGGCTTCCCTCTCTCAGCTATTTTCAACCTTTTTCTTCCCAAGGCGCATGTGGACTAATGACAGATTCTGCAGTGCACCAAAAAAATACAATATTTTTGTCATTCTGACAAAAAAATAGATATAATTTTGATTCATTAGTACTGGATGACTGTTGTTCTGTTGGCTGTTGTCATTCTTTTAATTTGACAGTCTAAGGGAAAAGAGGTCAATGCCCCTGACCAGAAAAGCCAGATATTGCATATTTTCAAAATTCCCGTGGCGCAGCAGTTGAAAATTGCTGCCCTAGCAGATTCCTTTGACTTGCGTGTATTTTGAGAAACATACCTGCACTATATAGTAGGGTAGATAACCTGTGTGACTTTCAAGAGTCTTTATCACACCCAGCTTCTAGCAAAAGGCTGCATCATTCCCTTTGCTCAGGGAATCTGTTCTGGGGCAATGTGATGATCTTCGCCATCTTCCTCTTAGCTAGTTCTTCAGCTTGGTTGCCTGTCCTCTCCTCCCACCCTTCTTTTTCAGTGGATTGCTTTCTCTTGCTACCTCTTTCCATTTCTTCTTTTCCTTCCCTCCAAACCTCTCTCTTCCACTCTCGGGGGAAGCCCGTCAAAAGGTATTTTGATAAAAATGAATAGAATTTAATTAGAGTTGTTTCGTGTATTTATAACCTATTTAAGTGTTAACATCAGAAAACTATAGATATTTTTCTTTTTCATCCCATGTGCGACTCAAAACCATACTTTTTAAGGTACAAAGCTGCCATTGCCTTTGTGCTTTAACAGTACTTGTAAAATACCTGATTTAAAAATAGTGAACGAAAGGAGTATTTCGTTTGGAGTGTTGTCCTGTAAACTGGAACGTCGCAGGTTCGTTTCCCGGTCAAGGCGCATACGTGGCTATTGATGTTTCTCTCTCTCTCTGTCTCTGCCTCTCCCTTCCTCTTTCTCTGGAATTAAAATAATAATACAAGTAAAAATAGTGAACTTAAATATTCCCACTATCTTGAAAAAAGTTTTAGAGGAAAAAACAATTGGATACTATGGTATAACAAAAATTATTCATAGATCAAACTGGATAACTGTGAATGTTTATTATTAAATCATTTAGGGATTTAAACATTAGTTCTTCCTAATTATATCATACCTTCTAGGTTGCTCTCAGGTTCTGCTTTAAGAAATACAGACTTTTGGTTTTTTGACTATTTACACAAGGACAGACACACAGACACACTCATGCATGTACAACATGTCTAAGTAGCTCCAGATTGGAAATTAGTGAAATGCTATTTTTCGAATTGCCTTATATGAACCTGACATGTTCTTAACCTTCACCGTGCTTCACTTTTTTGTTTTAAAATTGTAGGGTTAAAATTAGCGATCATGATGATGAGCATGAAATTTGTAAAGTATGAAAACAGTTATTTGTATCAATAATAAAGGAATCAAATGCTTTAAAACATGTTTACTTTTAAAAAATTGTCTTTGGGGTACTTTCTCTTGCCATCTTTGTGTTGCTTTATGCAAATGATGGCTTTAATGACTCATTTTAGGTACTGTTCACATCTCTTTTTCCAGATCTAAACTCCTTTATTCCTGAACTAAGATGCCGGTTACATATCATCTGAATGACCACCAGTATTTTAAAATACACATACTCTTGTGTGAGTTTATTGCCTTGTGTCTTAAACATTTTCTTCTTCTGTTTCTTATAATATTTCTACCAAACATTTTCCCTGCTATTACTAATGTAATTTGAATTTGCTTAACTTCTTGCCTGGAAGATCAGCTGCTTATGTAAATTCTCAGTCTTTAATGTTTTTTTTCTAATTCTTATTCCTCTTTATACAATTGTGCTGGATTACTTTTGCTGGAGTGTAACCCAAATCATTTGGCTATTCAGATTTTTCTAGGGCTTCCCTAAGTGCATAGAAAGCAGTGGTTCTCAAGGTGAGCTGGAGGTAGAAGTCAGGAAAACTTTTTCAAACTGTATTCCCATACGAATTAATTTCTGCTCCTTTCACATCTTTTATAGTCGAAGATCACTGCCAGAATGAGTCATACTTTTGATGTATATTCTAGCCCTAAAATGGATTAGGGTATACAAAAAACATTTGAGAACCATTACTGAAGTATATGTAGCAGTCATTCAGCCTCTTTAGCCTAGCTGTGTACAAGGTTTTCTTAGCACTTGTTCTTTCAGTTTTTCAACAGTGCTTTTGTTTTAAATATTGCTCTCTAGCCCTCCCTCACTTATTGGTGCTATGCTTTGCCTCTTGCAATTCCCTCTTTCTGAAAATATTTCTTCTCTCAATCTCTGTTCTTCCTGGTTTTTCCCATCTTCCAAGATTGGTTTTAAATACCACTTTCTTCATGAGAAATCCATCCCTCTTATGGACTCCTTTATACCACTCATACTATTTTTATTTTCACTGCTTTCATATTTTTAAAATTTATTTAAGATGGGTGTTTTCTTTTCACATTTTACCAGCTCTAAAATTACGATGTGTCTTACTGTTGATGTCATACTTTACGTACTTGGCGTTGTATACTGGTACATCTTATAACCATTAGATTTGGTGCCTCTGATTGATGAAATGTGGTGTTATATCACCCTTACTGTTAGCTCTTAGGCCGAGGATTGGTGTCTGATTCATCTGGGTTTGCTCCAAAGTATCCAACACTGTTCCTTGCACATAGGCACAACACATTTGTGAATTCACCAGAATTAGTTCACAACTATCCTTAAAGGTATAAGAGCTATCCCCTCCCAAAAAAGGCCAAATCTTGGTTTTTCATAGGCCCTTGAGTAAACCAAACATAGTTATTAGCAATTGTTCTTCATTAAAGCACTATCAACATTTTGGGGAAGGCTCAGTCCTTAGCCTGTGGGGCTGTTTTGTGCATTCCAGAGTGGAATATACATTGTTGTATACTAGTCATTTTACATGGGTGGGTAAAAGTAGGTTTATGGTTGTGATTATGTGAAACACAGGGTTTATTTTTATTCTTTTAATGGTATGTATTTTTCTATACAAACAAGTATAAATGTACCTTGGCCCACCCCCGTATTTTAGTGACTCCCAGTCACTGAGAGAACAAAAACCTCACCGTACATTTCCAAATCCAATATTGACCAGCTTGAAACTCCTGCAGCAGGCACTGTTTTTGTGACCATCTCATTTCTGGTCCATCTGTCATCTGGGGACTTAAGTCTCAGCATATTATTATCTCCATTACCCTGTATTCTAGCACACTGGTTTTTGCCAGTTCCCATAAGCATCTAGGTTTTTCCCATTCGTTTTAGTTTATTTGGGCTTCCATAACAAAATACCTTGGACTTGGTGACTTAACAGCAGAAATGGATTTTCCTCACACATCTGGAGGCCAGAAGTCAGCATCATCAAGGTGCCGTCTGGGTTGGTTTTGGTGAGGCCTCCCTTCCTGGCTTACAGACAGGTGCCGTCTCACTGTGTCCGCACGTGGCCTGCCTTCTTTGTGCATGGGGGGCAGAGAGAGAGGTCTCTTTCTTTTCTTATAAGGACCCCAGTGCTGTCAGAGTAGGCTCCATTTTTCTGATCTCACTTAAACATAATTACCTCCTTAAAGGCTCTTTCTCTAAATACAGTCACACTGTGGGGTTAGGGCTATAACATACGAATTTGGGGGTAACACAGTGAGGTTTATAGCACCATCTTTGTGCTTTCTGGTGACCCATGAATCTTCTGGATAGACCCTTTCTCTTTGCACAGTCTGCACCTTCCAATCCTTTAGGTCTTACCTGAAAAGTAATTTTCAAAGAGACTTTCTTTCATCACTGTGAGGTATGTGCACTGCTGTGAATTTTCTGTTATAAAATCCTGCTTATTTTCTTTCCGACACTATTTAATAATCTATAAGTTAGTTTCTTCTGTTTTTGTTTATTCTGTGTATGAGTCCCATGAAGGCATATGCCTTTTTTTTTTTTTTTTTTTGGCATTCACCTGTCTCCTTAGGACAGTGCTTGGCATATGTAGACATTTATGAGAAGTTGTATAGTATAAAAGTAAGGAATATGGGAGGTAGGTTTTTATACTGACTCCACTACTTAGTAGCTTAGGCAAGATACTTTCCTTAGCATAAAATGAAGATAATAGCATGAACCCTATGGGATTTCTGTGAAGATTAAGGAGTTAGTCATACAAAGTACTTAGAATAGTGCCTGGCCTATAGCAGGCCTTCAGTAAAAATTAGGTGATAATTTTATTTTACTGGACATTCAGAAAAATGGATGTGAGTGGTAGAGTGTGACACTGAAGTAAAAGGATGAAGTCAAATCAGGGGGCAGCTAGAATTTTATAGACAGTAGAAAACCACCAAAGATGGTGTGCTGAGTTTCTGGTGAGTTCATGGGCATCTGTGTAGAAGTTGGATATGCTAAAGCTCTGTGGAGGTGTCTGGAGTCTTCTGCATTTGGGTAATAGAACCTTGAGAATTCTGTAGAGAGAGAATAGTAGTGGCCATAGTAAAACCTGGGGTGTGTAGGTGTTGAAGGAGTGGGCAGAGGGAGAGGAGCTGACAATAACAGTCCAAAAGCAATGGCAGTCGTCACCAACATCACTTGATACTCTCTGTCAGAACACTTTCAGGGGAATGGAGTAGGCAGGAGCTTTACTGTCTGCAGAGATTTGTCGACTAAATGTGGTATTGGTTGACTAAAATATAGTAGTCTTAGGAGGATTGCCCATAGCATGTTGCTATAGAGTAA